TCGTGTAATTAATTATGATTTAAATAAAATTGTATATGATAAAAAATATATTACTTTATTATAATTATACCAGGTAAATTCGGGACAAGTGGGCTGTCGGAAAAAACATACCTTTTTTATTTTGGCGCAAATGGGCTATACCCAAAACGAATTCATTTTTTTTTTGGCGCAAATGGGTAACACCCCTTGCGTCAATGGACATGGCGTCCAACAAGACCTACCAACAATTATCTTAAATCAATTTATTACTATTATAGAATGATGTTTTCCACGCAGCAATCATTATATCATTTTATTCGTCAACATAATTGTATTTTAAAATTTAAAAACCAATAGACAATATGGTTTTGGCTTCCTACTTAGTGTCTGATTTAAATCTTTAATGTATTGGGATGTCAATGGCATCATGTCATACCAAAACGTAATATATTATCATACAATAATTATATTCTGCATACTATATAGGTATTTATGACTATATAGCCTATGATATACCTATATATATAAATCGGTACTACTCATAATGTATAACTATGTTTAACTCGAGATCAGTGGGGGTATTAAATATTAAAAAATATGTGTGACGAAAGAGAGGGCAGTGTTTGAATAAACAAAATTGTTTAAAAAACGTGTTTTAAAAAAAAAAAAAGTAAAAAATGGGTGTTACCTCTCTCTGACCACAATGTAAAATTCCTCTGTTCATGTCGCCTGTTTGCGGATAATTATATTACAAAACAAAAAGTGTTGGCATTTATTTACTATATAAGGTGACCTAACTATAAAGTATAAAGTATGTATATTGTACATATTATACCTACGTTATACGTCATACATACACACATATATGCTTAACGCTTGAGGCATACCAGTTATATACTTATATGACTTTCTATCCGAATCTTCTTCCTGTATAGATCAAGTCTGACGTAGGTATTGTTAATAATTAATCGCTATATTATTTACTTATTCGTTGTATGAACCATAATAAATTAGAATATTCTGATTTCTGTTACCTAAGGGCAACAAGTATCTATATATTGATTGACGTAGTATATTAATCTGATTTATTTGTTTAATGTTCTAATTTCTTTCACGAATGAAGTTTTAAATTTGAGGTTAGGAAAAATATTGATTTTTCAATCATATATATATTTTTTTATGTAGGCATGAATTGGTAAATTGTACGCAAAAACTTAAATTTTTTAATACGATGTGGGTACAACACTTTTAGTAGGTAACATAAACGTGCTTGGTAAATGTGTAGTGATTTTTTTTAGAAAACAATGTTCGGCAATCGGCATCATCTAAAACTTGCCTAGAGACTTTCCCTTTATACCTGTATACATACCTATATTATTGGTGTAGATATTTTTCTATACTTGAGTACGATATTTTAATAGACATTCGTATATGTACTGTACTTATCTAGTACCTAGGTATACCTACGCATCATATGCAGTCAACCGAGACGATAGATAAAGTTGTATATATTATTTTTATTCTTACTCTTATTTTAAGCATTATTATATTGTTATGAAAGCGTATAATAATAATTGTTATGATTCGCATTGCACTAGTATCCAAATTCCTATAAGTAAATACATAGGTTAAAAAAAAAATAATAACAACGTTTAAACATTTTACTTGTACATCAACTATACCTACATGATGTAAACGTGACTAAAGCGTGTATACACTTTCGCTTTTCAGTTTTATTTTTGTTAATTATTTTCATTTTTTTTTTTTTACTACTTTATTCAAACCACACACTTTCCCTCCGGTTGTAAGCCGATCGCTTGGCAGTCTAACTGACGACATTCGGATGGATTTAGATCTACATACAAAATACTACACGTTATTAATTCTACACGGTACACACACACACACTATATAGCTGTAAACATCGTTGAGGCAAAAATGCATAACATAATAATATAAGTCATAGGTATCTATCAGGAATTTATGAATGGAAGCTTTCATAATTTTTAATGGCAAACACTGTATGACAGTAAAACTTAGTACGCTCTTCCTTGGTAGAAATATCATGACTTAATTATTTTACATACCTAACTTGCCAACTTCTTTTTCATTTTATTGTAATTGATATATTTTTAGAATTTTACTATTTATTTCCAACATTTTTAGTGTAATTTACTGAAAAACAATTGATGAAACAACATTCAGTAGTTATATTATTATTATTATTTATTTTTTTTACTCAAGTTTTACTATTTAATATTTTTATGTAATCAATAAATAACTATATACTCTCCTATAAAATCATTATCAAAAAGATTATCAGTGATTTCTATTTTTGAATTAAGTTAAATGAGATTATTATAAAATATTCTCTTAAAGAAAATAATGAATACCTAATGAAATGTATGGATCAATATTCAATTAGAAAACGAAAATAAGTATGCTGGATATTTAAATATGTACCTGCAGCTACTAGTTCGAATAATTATTTATGCATTCATTACAATGGTTTAATATTATACGTTTGCAGCTATTAGCTTATTGGGAATCCCCCCTATGCACCAAAAAAAAAAAAAATTAATTAGTTTTGAGTACAGCCTATTTGTAAAAAGATAAAAATGGTATATTTTTTCCGACAGCCCATTTTCGCCAAATTTACCTGCTTAAACATTTTACAAGAAGGATCCAATAAATATACCCAACAAAATTATTAAATTAAGTAATTAATTTAAATGTATTTCTATTTAAAATAACTCATTGTGTACTAATTCAATTTTTTTTTAAAATAGCACTACTTATACGTACCTAATATTTTATTTTATTCAGACAAATTTACTATAACATTTATTCGTCTTACAAAATAAATCGAATCAAGTAAAAGTGATAGGTAACTAGCACTACCAGCTATTTTTCTCATAGCAAAGAATATGAATGACAATCGTTCTAAACTAAGGGGGGAGGCTGCATTCCTTGATGTACTACGCCAGAAAAAGATTGTTCTGAACGGGGAGACAATGGCCTTGAATAAATGACGATGACTGGTCTATAACCTACTTGATGAACCAAACTCGGCCTCCTTTATACAAAACCACAAGCTACGTAAATGACGGTCAAACCAAATAGTTTATTTTACAATATTTTATATTTTATTATAGTGATATTAATTTTTTTAAATTTATCAATATATATATTATATATATATATATATATTAGTCTTTAAAAAACACGTTTTGTATCAAAATATTCTCTTATTTTCATAATTTTTCTTCTTATAGATTATTATACGGTATTGGCTATTCCTAACTGCATAATTTAAGTCACTGAATTGTGGCGATAAAAGGTATAGTGACAATATGTATAGAAAGTAGGCGAATAAGTAGTGAACATTGTTGTAAGTCTACACGTAGTACCATAGTATGAGCTTCATATAAGTGCTTCATATAATAACTGTACTCCTATTGTACTTGTAGTTTGTACGTAGGTACCACAAGAAAAAAATATATCCAGGTCATGTAGGTAAGCATTGAAGAAACAATTCACATAGGTAGAAATGATATGATAAATGGAGGTGATGAATAAATGAGAATTTCAGTAGGTATTTATTTAAGTGTGAATAGGTATAGATAATAGATATTCGTGTATTATCATACATTCATTATACTTATATATAAATATAATGTATTATATAACATCATATTAATATACGGACGTGATTTTTATTTGTATATATTTTTAAATGCTTGCCAATTTAAATAAATAGTTTTTACTAATATTATGTACCTACTTCTACTGTAGTTTTATGATTACTTGTATTACCCATATGGGTATTATAACTATATATTATTTGAATTACAAATTATAATTGTCAATTGATAATCATTAAAACACATCATAAAGACTAGTTATTATAATCTACCATACCTATTTAATATTATGATTATGAATGTTATATATTATCACTCCTAGATGATGTGCGCAAAACGAAAACGAATATCATATAAATACCTATATATATGTAATATGTTTATTGTGTACCCTGCAGTGACAGTGATACATACATAAAACAACACTCATAACGAGTTCCAGACAACATTAAGCAGTTTTCATCAAATATTATTTAATTTTTAGTTGCAAGACGATTACATGAATCCTGCGTCATAAATCATCTTGCCTGTCTATATATCATTGGTGTTAAAGCCGGAAGAATAGATTAAACACTCAGCCAGCCAGCAGCATTATTACGAGAGAAACCATTATGACCTGTCCATTAGTAATGTCGACTGTAGAGCGTAGAGTGTAGGTATGTACGTATATTCATTATGCCAAATACCTATGTACCTAATTTAAACGTCTCTCTATATAGGATGTCTGTTGACTCGTTGTAAGACATCAATTATTTTGAAATTTTTAAGCTATTATCTAATGATTCTAATGTATAGATATTCTTGTGTAATATTATACAAATTATATTATTTATACACACATCGTTAAAAAATTAAAATTTTATTTTTTACAAATAATTATCTCTTCTATATTAGACACTTTATAAATCTAATTCTAAATTTTGTTTTTCGTGTTAGAAACCTGCAGTAACAACAAAGTACATACCTCAATAATTATGTTTTATTCAGATTTCATAGTAGGTACCTATATGGATCAATGCATATAGTTTTTAAAGTTGTTATTATACATTGATATTTTATAGACAATGCTCTAGGTACTCGGAAATATGGTTTACTAGTTTTAATTATTTGAATTTTAGGGAAAATTATGTTACATAATAATATCACATTCACATATTTTAATAGACTATTAATTATTTTATTGTGTATAATTACTCAGGTATTCACTTTTACTTCAACACTTACTATGAAATATAGGTTTATTTTATTCTTCATTCCGATATTTGTGAACATGTTATAGTTTTTAAAAATAATTGTGAAAAATTCGATTTTAACATACTTGTTAAACCTATGTAAATAAGTTTAAATGAAAAATGAAAATAGATAAAAATACAATTTTTTTTTATTTATACCGTAATTAATGTACTTATATAAATGTAAAAACAACCAACAGGCATTTATTTAAAATTCAGATTTAAGATAATAATAAGTTAGAAAAAAGTTATTTCGATAACTGCGATGATGGGATCAAACACGGCGGTGTACCTATATAATACTGTAATCATAGAGTGGGGACAGTTAAAATAAGTCTTATAAATATTAGACATCTAAAGGTACAGTCAGAATCAACTAGTTTAAATTAGAATAATACGAAATAACTAAATTAATATAATAATAAAATTTAAATTAATATAAGATAGAAGTATTTATAATAATTAATAATTATATACATTTAACATTTAATACATTGCCTAACTTCAATTTATATTTGTTCTGCTCATGTTCATATATGAATCATGAAGTCCACTGTATAACTATAGTTTTATTTTATGATTGTTTAACCAATTTTGAGTCGGTTAGGAATTTAGGATACCTTATTCCCGGTCCATAGCGACAATTATGTTGGATAACGCTGTTCTGGCATCGCTTTCTTCGAAAACATTCAATACTTCCATTGCTTTTTCTGAGTGCTCCTTTTGTAATTGTTTCGTGTAATTAATTCCTGGACCTTTAATTACGACATCGTGCACCTAAAGGTTCAAAAGAATACCTTACAATATTTTTTTTTGCATCACATAAATCAAAATAATTATGTTATTGAGAATTATAATTTTTTATTAATTTATAAATATATATAACTTTACTTTATGAGTTAATGATAATTACATTTTTTCGGGTGAAAGTCTAAAGTCTAAAGGCCATACATGTATGCATTTTAATGTTATGCTTTATTTCTAAGTCTATAACATTTCATAAAACTTTATATGTTTGATTATATTCTCAATCAATAAAGGAACCTTTAAAAATATATATTTGTTCTTTCATAAATAGTAATAGGAGGTACAATTAATACATTTATAACAACTATATCCTAAATACAGGGATAATTATAGAACGCAATAGGTTTTTAAATTTTAAATAGTATACTTAAATGTTTTAAATCTATTTATATTTCAGATAAAATAATGTAAGTAAAACAAAATAAAATACCCAAAATATTGTGTTTTGACTTTTAAATCATTCAATTACCTGCTTTTAAATGACTAACAAAGAAAATGTTTGAAATCAAACCCGTTGGAAGTCGGAGTATTAATAAACAAATAGAGTGTCACAATATAGTTGTCTTCTAATAAAATTTACAACGTTACATATTTACCCCAATTTGATATTTAAAAAAGAATAAAAAAATAAAACATTTCAACAATTGTTCCTCTATAGTCTATATGAACATACGTGTACCTATAACAGGCTATATCAATTATAAATAAATGAAAAAACCCAATAGATACTCTAGTAAAATAAAGTTAACTAGCCAATTATTTTGTTGACAATCAAATGCAAACCAACTTAAGGAATATAATTGTAAGTCTAGAGTCACACAAATAAATTGTAATCTTACTATTAAATACTTGAAAGTGCGTAAGCTTCTAATTTAATGTATATCAATCGATGTCTATTTCACTTATTTTTTATTATAATAGTAGTAGTGCTTTGATGACGAATGGCGATGATATTTTGTACAATAATGTATTATATATTATACTATATAGGCAACATAACTTACACATCTTCAATTTACATATAGTATTACCTATATTAGGACAAATCGAGTATAAGTAATATGAAAATAATTGTGTTTTGTATTACGCTGACTATGTGGATGTTTTTGCCATTTTACAATAATGATTGCCTATATATTTTATAAGTTTGTGATTTTAAGTAATATCTAGGTATAGGTACGTTGTTTTAATATATTATGCAAAAATTATAATTTTATTTTCTTCTTCATCAACTATATTATAGATGTATCAAGCCATTAATTTAATTTCCTTAGTTTAACTGGTGTGAGTCCAATGACAATAGAATGAATTTGGCATTTACATTCTACATTCATACTGCTTTTAAATTATTTTTGTTTGGGTCAATATCTAAATTTTTCATGAACCAAATATTTTAATATTTTAAGCTTTTAACCTTCGTTATCTATGTTAAGCACCTACACCAGCAATCTCAAATATGATTTGAACAAACTTTTTTTCTTTAATATTTAGTATGCACATTGTATGAATAATTTGTATGACCATTTAAAATATTTGTACATCTTAAGTTTTCTTCTCACAAATTATGGGATCGAAAAAACCATCCTAATTTTATCACGAATCGGTTTTATTTAGGGAAAAGGTGCTGGGAAATAGGCAAATATTTAGATCACTATTTTTTCTTATGGGTGTCGTATGAGTTTCGGAAATGGTATACAAATTCATACCACTGCTTACTAAATGATGGGGCCCGGGGGCCGTAAAACACCTCAACACCATTGAATATCAGGGGGATGGTTCCAGTATCAGATAAGTTTTTTGTTTGTGGGGTGAAATCTAAAGGCATACAAATTTGGAAAATGATATATTAAATTTGTACAAATTTGAATACTGAATGTTTTCAAAAAAACAAAAAAAATAGTGGGGTGGATCGCTGGGGTGCTGGAGTAAATGTAATTTACTGTTTAAATTTGTACTTATAGCTATTAGCTACAAATTTCAATACCTATAGATTTGTTGATATTTATTCGTTTCGAAGTGTTATACAATTATGTTCATCGAGATTCATAATTCACTATGTTCATATAGTTCAAAATTACAGTTTATGTTAGATAAATGATAATATTTTTAATATTGGGTTCTATTTTTACTTTGATTCTATAAATAGATTAGGTAACTATATCATATATAGAGAATGATAGATATTCAATATTTTTTATGGATTTGGTTTGAAATTGTTTTGTTTTATAATAAACATTAGAAAATTATTGTATTAGGTAGATAATATGTCCTGATTGATGTAACTTGTACATGGCGAGTGATGACATAAGTTAATTTATAGAATGTATAAAATATTTGATTGCCTTTTTTATTTAATAATATTTCACTTTTAAGTTTAAAAACAAAAACAAAATATTAACATAAAGTTTTGTTGAATTTAAATTAAAGAATACGAAATAAACAATATTAAAATTATAATAGAACAATACACAACACCTAATTGTTTAAATTACATTAGTAGATTATTACTTACACCAGTAAATAATATCGTCTGTTTGTAAAGCATTTGCCGCCTAGCATATTATGCTATACAAATTTCTATATATTATTACTCGTATTCTTTTGCTGTAATATCTTTATATATAAGTTCATATTTAATTAAATTAGTAAATACTTGGGAGAAAATTTACTTTGACATAGTCGACGTCTTGAATAGAATCAATGCCCTTGTCGATTTCTTTAAATAATGACGAATCGTGCTCAAGGTGGAACAGAACTGGCGCTGAAGTGAGGTTGAAAGAGATTCCCAGCGAGCATGGTGAATCAGACAAAAATGGTTCCAAATCTAAATATGCCTAAATAAAGTACATACTTAATAAATCATTTGTGATGCAAATTAGTGTATTGGTTTTATAAAATGTATATGTATAATAATGTTTTGTTGTATTTTTAAAAAATTTTTATAATCATTAGGTATTCATTAATATTGAGTATTGACATTTTCAAGAGCGACTTATTTGGAGATTGGAAATTTAATTTAGATGCAAATATATAGTATTTTGTCCTGCTTTCTGTTAGGTATACTTCACATAAATACATATATCAATTTGGTTCGTTAAACTGTTATTCTAATTATAGTAATATAATCTATCAAATTTCATTGATTTCATAATATTATATCCCCTACTATAATAAATTATAAAATCATTGCAACGTTTTAATTTAATTACATTGCCATTCAATTAAAATTCTCCCAAAGACCTAGCTGCACGGGCTGGGCTTTTCTGTAATATCTCGGCCTGTGCAGTAAGTCCACTACCTATATTTATAAAGTGTTCACATCATGCACGTAAAAAGATATAACAAAAACTCCACGAAAGCATTTTGTAAATAATATAATATTATAACCTCAGACTTAAGAGAGCGTCACACTCATATGCGTTATTTTCCGTGTTACAAACGTTCAACATACTAAATTGTTTCATTCACAATAATAATCCATTTGACTCGTAATTAATTAAAAAATTTAAGTGAATTGACCAGTCATCAAATTTTAAGATTTAATTATTATCTAGGGATCCTCTTCGTGATGGCTTTTTGATATTTTAATTTTGAAGCAAGTTATAATCATTTTACAATTATTTACAAAAATGTACGATTTTTAGATGCTTGTATATTAATTTGGAAGCATCGAAGAGGGCACATAATTGATGTCGAAAAAATCTGTGATTCCTCACAAATTTTACTACAAATTATGTTTTTACCTTTAAACCTGATACAGTTATAGTGAACTATAGTAATATAACATTAAAAAAAAAACTATAACAAAACCATATAAGTAATAAAGTAGGTAGTATTTGAATAGTACTTGAACTAATGAACGTAAATAATGTTTGATATAGGAACGCGTGTGGACTGTGTGGACTGTGGGGACAATACATTATACGATTGGTGTGGCAGATATTATTTTGGGGTGTTGGTCGCGTCCAAGCCACAAGTGGTTTACCTGCCAAGCTAGCGACAGATGTTTACCGAACAAAAAGCCCTGTTTCTGCAACTGTTCGCTATGGCCGGCCAATAGGAGCGCGCCCTGACAAGTCTTTCCAAGCAGGCTGCCGGCTGACAGTACGTTGCGTCTGGTCCAGTCACGCAGGGCGGGCGTGAGCGGCATGCCACCCCTCAGTTGTCCGGACAATTGGAGCGGGTTGAACCGCAGCCGGGCCGAGCCGAGCTTTCGGTCGAGCGGTTCGAACGGCGACGGCAGTGGATTATTTTGTGAGTCTCTGCGACCCACGAACTCGGCCTCGGACAGGTCACGCAGGGCGCTGCTGATTAGTTCCATGAGCTAAAGGTGTAACAAAAAAACCTTATAATAATATTATAATTACATGGCGGTATGTACTCACGTAGCAAAATTATTTTGACGTTTGTAGTATGTAAAATGTATTGAAAATAAAAATTCTACGGTTTACTGTGCGCATATTAAACATACTTAACCTACCAGTGGCGCTGAACCTTTATTAAACCCTATTTGTGACTTTGTGAGTACCAGCCACCCACCCAAGCCGGATTAAGGGGCACGGGGCCAACCTCTTTTCAAAAGTTCTATGGTATATTTACCCGACTTGCCATACGTGCTCGGCACCACTGATACTTATACAAGTCGGCTTTGTTTTCCAAGAAATACTTCTAAGGAACTTTATTTCTAAAATCTAAATTTTAATTCCATTAGACTATTATAGGTAGGTAATTATGAGTGATAATATGAAAAATGAATATTCTTTGGATCGCGGTGAATTGGTCAGGATCAATTGATCGCCAGTATAATTGGTTTCCATGGTCTTAGTTATTTTATTATATTATAAGAGTTAGAACAGAGGTATATCTCAAAAAGAATAATATTTATATTATACAACTATTTATTTATATACATTTGTATACTTACGTAAATATTTTATGAATTATAAGCAATGTAATGGAAAAATTTTATTTGATTCAATTTTTAAGTGATGATCAATTATTATTCTGCATATCAATTGTATCCGTGACCAATTATTCGCTACTAATTCACCGGATACCCAATGCAACTTTTTGATAGGTAGGTACCTCTTAAAATATTTTTGGATAATTTTATACTTGTATCATTTATACTATTATGTATCTGCTGAACAGTAAAAATTATGATTAATAACAGAACGCTGTAATTTGTAATCACGGCCGTAGTCGAAGAGTCAAAACGGGATCGGGGTTTCCTTTTTGTTTTTTGGTGTTGTAGTCTAAAAACGGTGTCCGTGGGTTCAGACATAACGTTATAGTAATCATATTTTTATTTGCAGCATATGCCTAGCATCTACTCACGTTTTGGTTTTTGAGCATCGACAGTTCGTAGAAGCAGTTGGCCAACAGATAGTCGCCGCTGAGCAAGCCAATCTTGTTGCCGAAGCTCATGTCTTCGTGGTCGATGGATTCATTAGGAAACATTTCTGGGTATATGTTTATGAGACCGTTGTGCATCAGGTGGCTAGTGCGGATCATTTCTGCGATCTCGGCCAGAGCCCTTTGACTACGCAAGACACCCGACTGGTCTTCGTCCGCCGAGCTTTCCACTTTGATGTGACCAGCTGCCTTGGACACGAGTAGCACGATAAGCCCCCAAGCTTGCATGTTACTCTGGCCATTGTACAACAACCCTCTACACATAAGTAGGACAATAAGAAAAATTATATTATATTCAGTGCTTGATTTGGAAAAAAACTAGAAGGGGGACTTAGCGGATGTTTAATGAACAAGCGTTCTACTCAAAATTAACTGTCACACTACCGTGGGGGGGCAAAGCACCCCCCCCCCCCACACCCACTTCAGCCACCCATAATCCCAAAACTCATTAAGTTTATTGTACAAAAATATTTTAAAAGAAAAAAACACTTGTTTATTAATTATTCTTTTTAAGACATTAAATGTTAAATTATTAATTAATTATTCTACAAAATATACATAGTATTAATAATTATACTTTGGTAATTGGAGATAAGACGAGTCATTACATCATCCAATGACATTATAATTTATATTACGATTTATAAAGATTTAATTCATAAAATGTATTTATGGCATAACTACATGTACATAATATATTCTTATATTTATGTGCGCAGAATACAATTTCTTAGAAATTTAACAATCGATTTTTTTTATAGTCGATTCAAATGTACAAATATTATGGCTGTATATATAGGTATATTTTGCATCAGAAAAACTGATGATTTACATTTTCACTATAATAAATGTTGCGTTCCCAGCGTTCCTTTTCAAATAAATAGAAGGGGTACACTAAAAAAAAAATTAAAAAAGAAAGGGGACTCCCCCCAAATCAAGCATTGATTATATTAATAAACCAAAAAAAACATAGAAACCTACAATAATTGATTAATTGTCACTATTGTCAAGAATCATCAAAGCTGCAGCTATTGTTTTCAATATTATAGGTACCTACTCTGTTAAAATATTTACCTAAGTATAACTATCCATACATTTTACACGTTTCTATTGAATATTGGATTTATTTGGTATTTTAAGCATAGGTAATAATTTGTTTAATCAATGTCGATTATAATTTATAGGTATAGGTATTGAAAAAGTTTCATTTTAAAGATAATATTTTGTAAGTGTATTTGCTCGTCTTTATCCGGCTGTAGACAGTATTAAATATTGTAGACAGTCGTGAATAAAATATTATTTAATATATTTATGATAATTATATGTAATATAGGAAGGAATATTTTTAGTAACGAGTTATTAAGATTTATTTGATTAGATAAAAGTGAAAAAAGTCTGGTATCTATATAGCGAAACTAGAAATTAGTTAGGCTTAGGTATTTAAATAAAATATAAATATAATAATTACTAGGTCTTGATCTGTATTAAAAAAGTCCAATTAATCATTCATTAGAAAAAAAAATATCTATTTAGGTTTAATAAACTTCGTATATTATACGGCAGCAGTATGAGTAAAACACGACTAGCTAGATAATTTAGATAAAAGCTATGGTTCAATATTGCTTGTTTCTAAAAGTCGATTAGTGTTCAAAGTCCAAAGTAGTTATATCACCAACAAGTTGCTGATAGCATTGCCGGTATTGGTAGGAACCTACAAGCTACAAGTTTGTTGTTATTTCGTCACGTAAATCATCTACCTAATTAAAATGTATAGTAATACTAATTGGAATGTTAATTGTTCATCACATTGAATTTTTCCTTTTACCTGTCTATTACATGTACCAGAAAATTTTACCTTTACATTTTTATACTTCGGACTTTTAGGTATCAAATCCAGTCTACCCATTATTACGTATAAGAAATATAATTATAATTTCTAATAATAGTGTTTGTTTAAAATCGTTTATTGGAGTGACCTCGTGAGTAAGTAAGGAATGATATTTTTTAATTAGTTCCCATTTCATCGTATGATTTTAAATTAAATAGACAGAAAGTGTATTTTTGTGAAAATATGTTTCCGCCAAATATTATTATTTGGTAACCGTAGATTTAGGCACAAATGTTACAATCATGTGTGTAGGTAGTAGGTACACTAAAATAAGAAAATATTTTGACCATATTATGTAATTGCACATCATTTGATGTATGACGTATCAATCATATTTTAATATTTCAAAACGCCATAAAAAAAATAATACAATTAATTATAATACTGAAGCAAATAATAAAATTAAATTATGGTTAAAAAAATCTCATAAACGATCATAAATTTCATCAGTTGAATTTTTACGATTTGTCCTTGGTACTATAATAGTAAGTATCTATAAATTAAAATAGTTGAATCTCACCTAATATAATACAGTGTTTATAGTTTAATATAGGTACTAGTGTAAAGTTTTCCCGATTAAATATCTATTTACAAATTTCAAAGCACTATTCCATACTAATTTCTAATTACCATACATAGGTATATTGGCATATTGCTTAAAAATTAAAATCATTGGTAAAACGGCACCTAATCAACCAATCTTTCTTTGGCAGAAGTGTACATCGTACCTTTTTCGTTTTTGGCAAATAAGGGCTGTGGCGGAAACGGTCAACACCAGAAAATATATCGATTTCATAATGATTGTATTTTTAATTTTTAGGGAACCATTAGAACCAAGGACGGTATTTTTCTGCTGCAACTTATAGTATGATATTATATGCCTGCATGCAGGACGCAGGTGCAGTATGACGAAACTGCACTAAGGTTTTTCATCACACGACTCACTTGACCATTTTCAGTAGCGGGTGGTTGGAGCTGACCATGCGGCGTAGGTGCAGCGCGACATTGGCTATCTCGTCGCTGAGCAGCCACCTGAGGCTCAGGAACGACGACGGGTAGCCGACGATCTTCTCGGCCTCGGACACAGCTCGGTTCCAGTCGGGTTTCTGCAGCCGACTGCGGTGGTCGTCTCGCTGTGTCGCTGTCGTTGCGATGACCGTCGACGAAGAAGCGTAAAGTCGACGACGAACGCGGCCAGCCGGCCCGTTTCGCAGCATCCGGACTGCCGTCGGCGACCGAACAACGTTCATGATGTTCGATCGGTTAGGTATTGACGCGTTGTCTGATGTGTACAATGGCCCGATCAGTATACCGACTACAGACGAACGAAAACAGAGAAAACCACTGACCAAGAAGTGTTAAAATTTATTAGATTTCGAAAAGAATTTACATTAGATGGTCGATTGATTGATATGAAATATATTATAGGTAGGTAATAGTATAATGATGCCACACCGGTACATTACGATTTATATTTTTTACGCGCGATGTTAATCGAATGTTCATACGATTTTAGTTTGTTGAAATGAAAATTATTTACACCTAGGTTTGGTTGTTGTTATTTTTTTTTTTGATTAATTTACAGTTATTTTTACTCTACAGCCTACAGCCACTGCCACTACGGTGGGACTTTAGATTTTCGTCAACATTACTTCGTTTCGTTACGTAAATATTTTAATCATCTAAATATGACTAATCATCCGAAAGATTATAGCTTTGACCTAAGTTTATCTTCAGAATTAATGATTTTTGATAATTTATCTATAATTTTCCTCGTTAAATTTAAACTGTTTTTGTTGTATTGTTATTTGATAAAAATGATTGATCTTTTTCTAGTCTATTATATATATTATAGCCAAGATGAATCATAAAAACGAAATAAGTTATAATAAAAATGCGTTTTACGAAATACGATGTGTTTATAGTACAGGTATTAGGTAGTACCTATTAACACTTGATTAGATTGTATTAGTAAATATAAATTAATATTAAACTTAGTAGGTGTGTAATTAAAATTAGAAGGAAGTAGATATGTACCTATCTACATTCTACATGTATGTGTTGTACTTGTACATAGCATAGGTAACTAGGTAAGTACTTCGAAAAAGCTTGTTTTTTTAATTTCCAAATAGTTTTCAAAACATTTAAAAAAAACAGCAAAGAATCAATTTTCAATACAATAATTTAAAACAGTGCTTTGAAATTAAACGACATTAATCTCAGTTCCGAATAGCTGAGTATTCCATCAAACTTGTATTAATTTACATAAAATATACATGAAAAAAAATGTTAATATGATTTGAATTTAATTTGTCTGAGTTGCTATAGTGTGTTGTTATTACTACGCCACTCAAACATTTTAGTCAATAGCTTTATCGTATAATTGTTTTATAGCCTTATACGGTTAGTTTTTAAACATTTGAAATTAATCATCAGTATTGACGTAGGTTAGGTTGGGTACTACAGCGAATTGATTCAGCATATGTTATAGTAGCGTCAATGCCCGATTTCAGTTATAAATTATAACATAGTTTTACACGTGTTGCATGAATTTTGAAAAAATGAGTTTTGTGATATTGCAGTGCCTCTACACTACAGTAGTTAAATTTTTAAGGAATTTTCACTGGGCACCGGGTGACAAAAAATAAATTCTCAAAATAAATATTAAGTTATATTAATGATCGTATGATAGAATTATTTCAAGCTCTCCCATCATAGTTATTAAAAATAAATATAAATGCTTGAAAGGAGGAGTAAATAGTGAAAGTAAATGAAGATAAGTTATAATTTATTTAAAATAAGAGGTAATTTAAAGTCGCCTAGTTAACTAGCTTAAAAAATATACGGCTTCACAGATCAGTGAAAGTGTATGATGAAAAAAACCACGAGAAAACTAAGTGGTCTACCCTGATCTATTAAAGTTGAGCCCTTAGATCATATACTCGATATACTACTGGTATAATATGATCTAAGGTTGAATCTCACGGATCCAAATTTACACCTAATAACGCAATTAGGCTCAACAATTAATACCAAATAATTGAGTACAAAAAAAAATAAAATATTTTCCTTACCATATTATAGACTTAGGCCTTAGGGCAACAACCTTCACAATAAGTCAACAATATTAGTTATTAATATTATCATAGAATAAAATGTTAAAAAATTAATTACCTATTTAAATACACATGACGTGACATGTACCTATTTTATTGCAATCTAACTTTTCAGTTTCTTATTCATTATTCTTATTATTATTATTGAATATTGCTACAGAGTAGGTACTGATGATTGAATATAATAATAGCACTGTTTTATATTTTATGAAATAGCTATTTCATCCTATGTTTTACTGGGCAAATGTAAACTTGGTATTTTTGAGTGATTGAGAATGTATAATTATTGTTTACCAGGTTGTTGCTTATAAATTATCTAAATATATAAAATGTTAAATACATAGTATGTCATTGTCATAAGCATAACTCATAATGTCAGCTAAAGACTACTAGTTCATTAGCTTGTATTTACATTAGATATGTTTTTTTTTTCACTTACTTTATCTTAATTTCTTAATTAATTATTAATTGGGAATTATGAACTGTGATAACTTTACAATAGATGGATATTTTCCATTTATTAATTATAGATAGCTGTACCATTTGTTAACTAGGACACAATAATAAAATCGATTCCATGATAACATTGTATACATACTTAATACAATATTGTTCTAAATTCTAATTTATCAATAGCATCAATTGTATAATTACAGTTTTTTTTATTGGTTGTTCATACAAAAATACAAATATTACTTCATATAAGTTAAGATATAGTTAATATTTTGTTTGGTGTTTTTTTTGTATAAAAGTAGTATGCTTGACAAAGTAAAACTTATCATTATAAGCAAAACTAGAAAATGTTATTAGGGTGGGTCAAATGATAAATATGAAAAAAATTCCAACTATAAAATAAGTTTTTAATTTTAGTTGCTATTAAATATTAACTATTAATTCACTAGGTTATCCAGTCATTATAAGGTCAGGCCATGGCTGGACCCATGGTTTTGCGAATGGTTATAAACTAATAAGTAATAACTATCAGTTCTTTTTTAGTGATGTTACAATAACTGTTCGATTTTTGAACCACATAATACTTGGGGCATCTAATGGGTAAAAATCAGTGTTTGGAAAGAAAGTTGTTCATGAACGCACGTTTACGTTCATAAATAGTGAACGATACGTGAACGTCACTCGTATTTTTAAAATAGAATGTGAACGACGTTTATATTTTTAATGAACTTGTTCGATTTTTAAGACATTTAATTTATTTACCATTTAATAAATATATTTTAAAAATATTTTAATTAATCATATTATAATAATATTTTTCATTATAGTTCCTATGACATCCAATTTAAATTTAATTAGTAATTACTGGGAAAAAATATTAAATGAATGCCCAATAAACGCGTTCATTTTTTTAGTGAACGTTCCGAACACTGGTAAAAATAAACTGGGAATTGATTAGTAGTTATTAAAATATTCAAACCAAACCAAATGCTTAGGCCTAGTCAGTAAACGTACAATTTAAAAATCGATCCAATAAAATTAAAATTTGTACGGAATATAATGAAAATGGATTAAGAATAAAATGGAATTATTATAATCATGAATATTATTTTTTTCTCGTATTTTCATTTTAATACAAATTTTTTACACTTGATTCAGCATATGGTTTTGATTCGGCCAAAACTAATTCAACATACTGCACTATTGTACTACTCAGAAAAAAAAAATGTTTTACAGTGCCTACATAAAATAAATAAATTATAAAATATTCTTAGAAATAGAATCTTACAAACCATTTCCACTCTATATCATTTATGTATGCAATGATTTACTATTGAATTTAAATTTGATATATCTATAACTGTGACATATTCAATTATGAGGTAAGCTCAGAACCTCCTATATAGAATTTCCCTAGTTTTTTTTTTAAACACCAAATACAAGAGTAAATGAGTAATTTAGTTTTTGATACTCCTGAATCAGGATTTCATTGGCTTAGATGCAGTTTCCATTTTGGGTAAATTGATGGTATCATTTAAGTGGGAATACCTAAGCTGGTAGTAATAAAATTAAGCATTTTTATCATACAAGATTATACTTGTGATTTACAACATCAAATTGTAGTAAGTAAACTGAAAATTAAAATACAATATCATGAAAAAAAAAACATTAATACAATGTCATATACGTATAATACAAACAATTTGTTTAAAATAATACATAAAATACTGGCATAGTTTAAAAAAAGTAGTATTGACCAATAAATGTTTAAACAATCACAATAATAGAAAGTTGAATCAATTATTTTTTGACACAAAATATTATAATATAAATAATAGTATAAGAGAAATAATTTGTTCGAGAATGATAAAATTAAGAGATCAGATGTATACAAATTTAAATATTCATAAACTACAGTTTCAGCATTATCAGAAAATACAATGTTTTATTAATTTATCACATAATGCGATGTATGTTCATGGACTGACATTTTAATTATAAATGGGTAGAAGATAACATTAAGAAAATAAAGATGTATTTATAAAAATTACTGTAACATTGTAAGGAAAGAATTATCAACCACCCATTTCAGTTATAAGTTTTAACTAAAAACATATAAATTACACAAATAAAAAACAATAACTATATAAATTACATTTTAGAATAATATACTAGGATTATAAAGATAAATTATTATTGAACAAGAAAAATTTGGTCATACACTGAATTTTGTCAAAAAGAAGCTTTTTTTAATTTTAAATACAATTTCCTATGTTAGATTACATTTCCAAAAATAATAAATAAACTAAACTAAAAACCATGAACTTCAGTGTTATATAATACGAAAATAATAGAAAAATCTCAAAAAATAAAACATAACATGTTTTCTAAAAATCTAAACAGAGTTTGTATTTTTGTGCCCAAAAGCTGTTGTTAATAAAGCGATAATGTAACTGTCCAAATAAATAAATATAAAGTGATCCAATCTTTTTTAGTCCATGGGACAATTATACATTTAAATAATATGGAGGAACAAAAAAAAAAATATTGCAATGATTTGAGAACATTCCTGCTCACTGGAGATTATTATTATCCCTAATAGTTTAATCTGTATAGATCTGTATAGCGTATAATGCATTTATTCAATCTAGTGTTAACAAACGCATGCCTCTTGCAAACATTTTTAAATTATGAAATATAGTTTCATATATATAAGAGGGCAAACAAAGAAGTTTGAGGATTGGATCACACTGATATAACTAATACTGTTAAAAACCAGGGGGACTGTGGACATAACACGAATAGTAGTTGATTGAAAAATAATACCATGTGTTTAACGATGTACATTACGTACATGATACAATAACTGATTATTACAATCAAATTTTTCTAAAACAACATTTATTTATGAATTTAAAATATAATCAGGTACTAATAAACAAATCACAAATAATTTAATTTAGTTTTTAAAACATAATTGTAGCATAATAAAGTAAATAAATTAAGTTTATCAAAATGTAATAAGATATTTTGGCAACAATTAGTTAGGAATTTTTTTTTTACTCGCACAAATATACAAACTCTGTTTAAAAACATTGACATTTGGCAAATAATGTCTTAATAATTGAAATGTATTGTATTTCATAAAAAAAATATAATAAATAATATACAAATACACAAGAATGTATAAATAGTTACTCTAAAATAATACTTTGTTAAGAACCTAAAGGTAAAAAATAAAATAAAGAAGCTGCTAATATATTTTTATTTGGAGCTTAAAAAATAAAATTTGTTTCAAAAGTATGTAACATACATAAAATAAATCAAACAAACAAATTAATAACAAGAGAAAAGACAAAAATATTTAGTTGTTTCAACGTATTGGTCATGATCAATTTTATAGGCACTTGAGTGTATGCTATTTTACCATCAATTTGTTGATATGTTATCTATAAGGGCTAATGAGTCACTAATAATGATATATTATGTTAAAATATATATTTTTTGAATAATTGAATGATCTTATGAAGATTGATGACAACAATAGAGGGTATACAACTCCACAAGTTAAATTTAAATATCAAATAAAAACACCCCTTAAAAAATTTTTGGTTACACGCCCCTGTTATTAACCTTCTACATATTATTATAGTAAAACATTTAAAACTACTGTCCTTAGATACAATTCTACTATTGAGACCAGAAGCTTCATCTATAAAGACATCCAGTTTACTTAAATATTTCCAATAAACCTCTAAACACTGTTAACACTGACTTCAGATTTTTTTTTTATAATAATCAAAATTAGAACTTCAATAATAATGTGGATTATCTTTTATAACTATAAAATAAATAAATATTATAAATAAATAGTGAACACAAATATGTGTCTGATAGTTTCTTGATTAATTACTTTACTTTAGATACAGACTACTAAAATAAATATATATTTATATTATTATACATAAAATCCAAAAATATATTTAAATATAGTTATTTAAAAAATAAACATTAAGTATGTGATGTACTATTTTTTCTAACAGTTTCTTTGGGAATAAATAGCATAATATGACAGTAATAATTTGTTGGTATATAGCATAACAATACAAGTGCCATTTTAAGTAGCATATAAAGACTAGTTAATACAGTAGAGAGCAAAAAATAATTAATATTTAATATTAAACTAAGATGCGATCACAGTAAAATTGAAATTAATTTAACTGTAATACAATTAAATAATAATAAGTTAAACTTAATTGCACTACAATTATTTGTACCTAATTTAATAATTTAAAAATTATAGTAGTATGTATATGTTATTTATCAGGTAAAATATAATTGTCCAAGCTTTGGGGTATAATGAGCACATAACTGTTGCCTATTTGTATAAGTCTATATTATAATATTGTCAGTATCGTAGTTACCTTTTTTGTTCTTGTAATTCATTAGTACTTAATGTTACATCTGGATAACTGGCAAAAGACGCAGTTTCGATTTTCGGGGACACCTAAAATTGAAGTTTTGATATAAATATATTTTAAATAACATTTTTCATGAGCTATTGTTAATGTCAAGTACAAACCTTAAATGTAGGATATAAGCCACTTTCTTTGGTTCTTAAATTTGTTCCCTTTGAATAACCATCCCAATGGTTACCAGCAACAGCAATCTCATCACCGATTAGTAAATTCATTTCATGCGGTCCATTAGCCTTATGGGGTAATACAGCTACATGAAGTCTGCGTTTTTGACCACCGTAATAATAAATGTCGTCTAAAGATGTGTATAGAGTTGACGCATCAGGATGGAGACTATTCATAATTTCATAGGCTACTCGACACACCTGTAAACAATAGGGGTTTAATTTAATATCAATTTAAAAAATAATTTTTATTCTGTCTTTTACCTGTGATGAAAAAGTACATACTAAGTAGTCACTAAGAGACAAAAAATGTATGTCAGTTATGATACCACTTAGCGATTGATCTGAATAGCGTTTGCTGATTGATGCCGTTTTAGAAATGTCTTCATCCCCAACTATTTCATACTCAGGATACCTAGAAAGTAAGTATAAAAATTAATTTATCTAGACAATTATTTACATTTACATTTTAGTATTTTACATACTTGCGTTTAGCTTCAGAAAATAATTTTGGTTCATCTGTAGCTAAATAAACTCTTTTTTTATCGACTTTATCAGTTAGTTCTTTATATTTGTAATATTGTTCAACATGTACCATATATTCATCTAGTTTATGGAATGCAGCTTCAGTACCAACTTTGTCAGTTCTTCTAATGTGCACTCTATACAAAAAAATTATGTTTATAATACAGACAATCCATATAATACACGTTTCTAATAATAATTAACTCTAATAAAATCATGAAATAAAAATAAATGATTAAATCAACAATTACCCGACAATTGGTTTTTGGAATTTAACTTTTTTGGCATATTCATCTAGTTTATTACTAGTAGCTGGTTGTGGTCGAAGCATATACTTGAGAAATTGTCCTATCCACCAAACCACAGGATCTCCATGCAATACATTTAATCGTGGAGCTAAGTCTTCAGGTAATGCAAGAGGAAGGAAAGGAGGTCTTGGGTTGATTGAGTCAATGATAGGTAGAGTAATAACTTGAGTATTTCGATGACCTAGAATGTTTGATAATAAGTTATCCTAAGTTAACTTAATTAAAAGACAATTTAATAATTGTGATTATTAATTACCTGGCCACCGATTGGTTGTTTCTCCATTTGGTAAAAGACATGTATCACTTAACGGTAAGAATACATCTTGCCATCCTCCTTTGGAATACCTCCAACCTTTAGACCTCAAAATTAATGTTCTTTCTGTCGCATATGCAACAATAAAACAATAAACAACATGATGCAGTTGGCAACCATATCCACAACCCTGTAATCATATTATATATTGTTTAAACTTTCATGAATCAAACAAAAAAATTAGATCTTAAAGTGGCAAACCTTATTTAAGTCACAAACTAGTTTTCTTGCTTTGGCACAATCTGATGGATTTTGTAAATGTTTCAATCTTTTTTGGACTAAATTACTCAAATTTTCAGATTCCTGTTGTCTCCATACTGTATGACCATCAACATCAGCTAAATTTGATACATCTTTTAATAAAGATCTATAGTGTTCACCAATAATGTTCTTCATTTTTGAAATGTGTTCCACTGTGACACCATCATCTTCTTTGACCAAGGATTGCAATTCAGAGTTGACATAGTACCAAAGTTCTTTAGTGTTTGAAAATATACGACGACGTGAAAGTTCATATTCTTCAGATGGACCATTTAGTCCACTTCGTTTAGAATTTTGGAAATAAGACAAAAGAATTTTCTTGTTGTCTATTCTTGGACTATAAAAAAAAATATAAAAACTTGAGGTTAATTTTTAATGATTGCATATTAGATCTGAAAGAAAATAGTTACTATAAATAAGTATTTTAAATTATATAGGTACTGTAAAATATTTCAATAACTATTGGCAACAGTTCAAATGAAATTTAAATATACTTACTAAAATATAGAAAGCAAAAATAAAACAGTGTTAATATTTCTTATTAAATTTGAATTTTAAAACTCAATAAATTATGCAAGCTAACATTCTTTCAAATCTTTGTTAAATATTATGAAAAAAGTTAATACTTGTAATTCAAATCCAATACTAAAGCATTAAGCTCAGCATTGCTTTTATGTAATTTATCAAGTTCTCGAAGAGCCCTGGCCAGTCTTTGAGATGAATCTCCGTCGTTGGTATCTTGTTGCCTTACAAGCTTAACAGTCACCAAAAGGAATGCTACCCATGAAAAAGCTAAAAACGCCAAAATGCGCAGCCATCCCTGTTGTCTCATGTTTTAATGATTAACAATTCTGTAAAATATTTAAAAAAAAAGGAAATAAGAGTTAAAATTAATAAATTAATTAGTATTATATAGCAGTTAACATAAGGATATTTTTAGTGAATTAGCTTAATATCCACGGATACGACCGTAATAATCATTTTACGAAAATGAAAAAAGTATGAAGATATTAATACTGAATAATTAATAAATGTTAACCTGTCGTAGGTATTGTTATGATTTGTAACATGATTGTTACTGTTTGTGTTGGAGTTACGCTAATATTACCAATCATTTTTTTGGTCCTGTGAATTATTTAATGAATTTAGAATAGTGAACCAAAGATAAAAATGTTGAACTAGTTCTATCCTACAAAAATTTGATTGTTAATAGCAATTGTCATTCAAATTTTCCATATTTACAAAAGATTGAAAACAAATAATTTTTGATGGCAAAAAAATATTCATTTTAAAAATCAAACTGAGGTATTTTGACCAGTTATAATACCAGTTATAATACCCACAAATAGATATTTACATATTATTGTTGTTGTTATTTTAGCATAATATTACATCGATAAGAGGTATACATAGTTTACAAGACAATCTATTTTTATTTGAATAAGTGGTTCCTAATAATAATTATAAGTTTAATGTTAGCCAAATACTACAAAATACTAACATTGATAGTGATGACGGGTTAAGTCCTTAGTTAAGTAATTAATGAATTTATTTAACAGGTTAGTAATATTTTGATGAAATATATGTTATAGCAAGTTAGTTAGAATAAAATGAAATATAAACAAATATTCTATGCATATTAAAAATGTATGCTTAAAAGATAATATATATTTATTAACATTAAACAAGATGGATGTAATAAAAGATTCTTTAGATAGGTAGTTTAATATCATCGTAGTTATAACATTGTTAAATAAATAATGTATTATTTTTGGTAGGTAGGTACAAGTACTTACATTTTTATTCATAGATGTTAACTAGAGTCAAGTGTCTGACAGTGTCAGTTTTCTTTTTAAATTTAAATTTTGTTCAAATATTTAAGGAACTGTTTAAATTAGGACTAATATTTAGCACTTGAAACTATTTAAAACAAATATTCAAAACTAGGTATGTGAAAAAGTAGGTATAACCTACTCTATAGAAAAATATGAGAGTAGTAAGTACCCTCACATTATATTTTAATCAGTCATATCTACTATGCACTTATGGTGAATAATATTGTTATATCAATAACTTATACCTTATAGTTAAATGGATGAATAATATAATTTATTTGAATATTAATTAAAGACATACCTATAATATTATTAATTCAAATTCAAAGAAGCTAAAGTGGAACACATACAATTATAATTTGAAATAGGTACCTACAATATTTATTGTACATTCAAAATATTTAAAATTCAAAGATAATTTTGAACATTGCGTACGGACACAAACCACAGGTCCACCCGTTGCTTACAACGGACGAGTGAAAAGAGATATTTGTTCGTTTTACCTGGACGGTCATCACCATGTCGGCGAACAGGAGATGTCATGCGACCGTCGTCCGCGGAGCTGTCGACACGTCGTCATCGGGGGATTCGAGTGAAAAATCCGAGGAGACAGAGACTGGGACCGGATCGGACCTTTTCGAGTCTCAAAGAACAACCTCAGAATTAGAAATCGTTTTTCGCCAGCGGACGACGGTTCGGGCGGCCCCCGATCTAATCGTCGTGCAGTGTGCACTGTGCACTGTGCAATTCCAACTAGCCAACTACAAACTATAAAGGTGTTACAGTGTTTAGTGTTATACTATTATCTCGGGGGGCGCGCTTGGGTTATCAGTCTCTCACGTTATCACCCTCGCCGAGTGTCGTCAGCCGTCGTCATAGATAATGAAGGAGTAAACGGCTGGTGCCTGGCGGCAGGAAAAGCTATAATATTGTCGGCACTGACCGCCGCGCCGGCTTCTGCGGCTATTTTAAATATTTTATACACAGTTCGAAGGACGACCGTCATTAATGAAAATAAACGTTTAAAATGAATGATTTATTATTGGACTTGTCATTTGTAATGTCCCTAATACCATTGATTTTAGAATATACTAGTATATTCTAAAATCAATGCTAATACCTATTAAATCGACTACCGTTAATAAAATATATTAATTACAGGGTAGGTACCTACCTATGTACGCAATTATCTCGTCGTCGTTATTTCGTCGCGAAACAAAATAAATTTGTTCGATAGGTACGTAGTCACTAGTCGTATAATCTTCGCAGTCTTGCGAGTCGCCAAACGTTAATTACATTAATACATAATATAACAATGTATTACTGCAGTGAATTATTGTAATGATATTGTGTACTACAACAGAACGCGGTGCAGTTTGAAAACGAGTTTATTAATTGACTCACAAAGGACGTCATCATCGTCGTCGGTTCGTCCATTTAAAACTACATATTATTATATTATTCATTCGCGCTACCACCGCGATAAACCGCGACCGTAGTTGCCGAGGCGGTCGTGCGCGGAGGTAATTATATTATAATATAATAATAATAATAATAATAATAACAACGCACCACAGTTGAAATCAAACGGAATGAAAACCCTACAAAACAGTACAATGTCACCGGATGCGCTCGTAAAAAATCGTATCGCGATCGTCGAATATATTATAATTTATAATATCAAAATATGTTTACTACACACCAGCAGCTACTCTCACGCGTTGGTACCTACCTTCCTGCCGGCACTGTTAAAATAGTTCAGCGTCGTAATTATGGAGCTTGTGGGTAAAAGCGTGGAGGGGGGAGGGGGGAGTGAGGATGTTGTAAGTTAGTAGATGTATTCGTTTTTTAAATCGGGTACCTCGAAAAAAATACATTTGTTTTGTTCGTATTAATTGTGGGTAATATTATTATTATTCAGTCGTTATCAAATTTTGAATAATTTTGACGACCCTATAGACAATTATAATTGTAATCATTAAGTACCAACTCATTATTGTAATAATATTTTATAGATTGTTGACGTAAAATCTCAATCTCTTCTTCATTTTTCTTAAACTGAGGTATTATTTGGTATCAGGTTTAGAACCAGATGGAATCAGATGAGTAATAATAAATATTTTTACATAATATGGAATGGTACGGTATTATAATAATCAGCTCACAGTTTTGCTTAGTTTCGGCGCCAAAGTAACGATTCCATAATGAATCTAAGTTCTCAAATACATACCTAACTATAAAATACCTACCATACATACAGCGCATAGAGCATACCAAAAACTGATCAAGGGGAGGGGGGTTCAATAGCTATGCTACCTCCCGCCCATCGTGGCTAAACCACTGGTATATATATCACGGTAACCAATCTATACCTCGCTCGACGGTGCCCGGTGCCGTTGTCCTCGAACCAGTCGCGCGCGTGTACCTATACGAGAATAATACCAATCATCTATTATATAGGTGTATAATATTATTAGATGATCCGATTATTTATTGTTCCGTTTGTATTGTCCCGTGTCCGAAAACGGACGTGAGAAATGTAATATTATTATATCGCACACGTCGTCACAACCCATCACGAATCTCGTCGAAACGAGTGAGGAGGAAAATCGGTTTTCGAAATAACGATTTCGTCAAGTGGACGTAACACCGGCATTTGTCGTCTCCGTCTTACAAGTACATAACATACCAAATCTAATCTACGCTCAGCAGATCACGGGTAGCTTTGTTAGTTTAAAAATTAGAGTGAATCGGAATATGATGAAACTTGATGCGGTATGGACATTATCTGTATTTGCAAGTGGGTTTTTATACGATAGTTAATTTTTTTTAGCAAGTTTTAAATATATAATATAGCTTAAATTTAAAATGCTCATAATTCACTCAAAAACTGAATCATCATAAAAAAATCCACTTTCAAACACAGATAATGCTCTAAGTAACAAGTTTCGTAAGAGGTCTATTCATTCTAATTTGTAAACTGACGATGCTATACTCGATATGTTGAGAGTAAATTTCTATGTTAAGCACTTGTAAGACGGAAACAAAAAATGTCAGTGTTACGTTCTCCTAACTGATAATATAGTAAAATATTTATGTAAATCGGCGTGAGTTGTTTTTTCCGGTCTGTAAAAGTATTCGAATGTGTCCATCGTCGAGACCATCTCAACAGTCAATATATTATATAATATATAAATTATATATGGTTATCGTCATAATATTTGTTATAATAATATAATATATTATGATATATAAACTTTACAATACCCACAGGCTACTGTGGTATGGTATATTGTATATACACAGGTATTACATAGTTTTGGTAGAATATGAGTGTAAAGTAGTACCTATATATCCTTCTCTAGATCACCGAATTTCGTTGATTACGATCATATTAGTACATTATCTTAAAGACTCATCTATTTAAATCGAATCTTCGATTTACAAATTATATTATATTTAACTCCAATTCTCCATAATCATTATGTAGTATACACAGTATATCCTTCAGATCTCACATAAGGTCGTATTACTTTTTTAATTTTTAAGATACCATATTATATAATAATTTAAATTCTGTAAAACGTTTAGAACTCTTATTCCATTCTTGTATTATTTATTCTTGATTACAGCTCGATAATTTGGAACCCTTATCTTCAGATTGAAACAAAATTAATTAAATAGATTTATAGACGGTTTTTTAGTTTGCAATTTTCTTACTGATAAGAATCAGCCAGCATTATTATGAACTTGTCAAAGAAGCTCTAAATCTTAGTTCTCTCTAGAATAGACTACCGAGAGGAAATCGAAACTTTTTAGTAAAATAACTGCATGGAAAGATTGGCCACCTCGGCTCTCCGTACGCAGGTTAAATCGTATAAGCCTACAAGTTACAATGTTTATATTTTCATACAAGATCCAGCAAGACTTTCTATATCCCATTTAAAATATTGTGTAATGATAAATCCTGTGGTCAAAATGATACGATCTTTAAATAATATAAATATTATCATGCCCATCAGTGTTATCAATATCACTTAACTATTAAAATTTCAATTCATGTTATAACTATGTGTATGTATTATTTTATATTTCATATTATTATGTATAAATATACGATTGGTGCTTATATCTATAAATACATATTAATATGATAGTTTATCAAAAAATGCATAAACACATTCAGCCATCATTATCCTTGAAAATAAATTTTTAAAAAAACGTAGATAAAATATGTGTCATATTGTGTAAACAAATGATGACTGTGATATAAAAAAAACTTTTTTGAGTGGCATAAATAGTATAAACATTTAAAAGTAAAATGCAATTTACCACTATGTTTACAGTTTAAAACTTTTGTATTTCAAAAAAAAAAAATAGTTACGATTTGTTTTATATACTATACAAATTAAAAATATAGGCTGAATGTATAAATACAAAAAATTAATTTTTATGAAAACAGCAACCCATTAATGATAATTACTCTTTACATATCAGTACAAATCCATAGGTTATTTTGTAAAAGATCACAACCCTTCTGTTTCGGATGTCTTTGAGGACCAGGTAGGTACCACTTATTATTAGATATTGTATTTATTTTGTATAAGAGGTTAGATTTTGGATCTGATAATTCATCATTATTCTATATCCGCTGTGTTATACTATTAAGTTTTAGTATGTATAATATATAATATTAAATAGGTAATTTAGAAAATAATAACGTTAATTTATCGTTTTGGCCGATTTTAGCATTTATAATGGAATGCGATAGGATCTTTGAAAAACGTTGATCAATTTTAGTAGTTATAGATATTATATACGGAGGTATACATTTTTATTAAAAAAATATTACAATACGAGATAAAATAGTACATACCTACAGTATTATTTTAAATTACCTAGGTACCAGTGCAAAGAGTCTTATTCATACTTAATTGTTTTCATTTTTACCATAATTTTGTGATATTTTTGTTTCAGTAGGTATATCTGCAATTTTTGCTGTTTCGATTTTCGGAATGACCTGAAGTATAAAGTTTTATTATTTTTTGTTTGTCATAGTATGTAAGAATAGGTTAATAAATAATTATGATTTACTCGTGTATCTATATAGTTATATAGTTACTTTAAATGTAGGATAAAGGCCTAGTAATCCCGTTCTTAAATTTCTGCCTTTGGAATAACCATTCCAATGATTACCAGCCACATAAATCTGATCTTCTACTTGCAGATCTATTTCTTCCGGTCCATCGGCCTTATGAGGTAACACAGCTACGTTTATTCTATGGGCTTGACCACCAAAATAATATATGTCGTCTAATGATGTGAACCGAGTTGATGCATCAGGATAGAGACTGTTCATTATCTCATAAGCTACCCGACACAACTGTTAATGACAAAAAAGTTTGATTTAAGCAACCTAAATATGAAGATGTTAAAGTAACTGTGGTTATTTTAAATTAATTGGTTGGTAGGTACCTGTGACGAAAAAGTACAAACTAAGTGGTCACTGAGGGATAAAAAATGTATGTCAACAATTATACCAATTAAAGCCGGTTTAGAATTTCGGTTTTTCACGGACGCCGATTTAGATATGTCATCAGAACCGATTATTTCGTACTCAGGATAACTAAAACATTTAACGAATATCTTCACTGCACGCGGACATGCTGTTGGCATATCATGATTTATTTTACATACTTGCGTTTGGCCTCACCAAACAAATTTGGCTCGTCTGTAGCTAAATAAATTCTTTTCCGATTAACTTCACCACTCAGCTCTTTTCGTTTATAATACTCTTCAACGTGAACCATATATTCATCTAGCGTATGTAAACTAGCTTCAAAATTGATTTTGTCTGTTCTTCTAATGTGTACTCTAAATACATACAGATAATTACTTATAAGCATTTGTAATGAGTATATATTGTATTAAATTTAAATATTTGTTTAGTTAATAAGGTAGAGCTCTAGCTGTCAACTGTGTGCATTTTAAAATAAGTTATTATATCATTTAAATTAGTCCAAGTATTTCGTGTAAACTTGACCATTTGTATATACTATACCCGTCATCTAACTATGTAATATTATAAGGTATACAAGAAAATGAGTTGGGGAAAAATGCTATATTAGCTTAAAATTTAAATTAATTTTAAACAGTATTATTTTAGTACTTATATAAGTGTCGTCAATAGAATCACGAATCAATTTCTTATTATTACTAGGTATGTAGTTGTAAATACGAGGCATATAATATCATGGTATTTTGTATTTTTGTGTAACACTTTTAACATTTATTCAGTTTGGTTAATGAACTCAATGAAAAAAATTACCTTTATCTGTGTAGTTATCATATTATATACTAAGATTTAATAAGAGTTAAAATAATAATGAATATAACACAGTATAACAGCTGAATAAATGTCTCAAAATATTAAGTCAACTACCGTATTTCTTGATGCACCTATCTTAAGCACATCATAATTTGTTTTATTTCCATTTTTACTAATGACTCATCATTTGTTAAGGCTTATTTTGTAGGTTTATACCTTCTAAATATATATGGGTGCCTCTTTATACATATACCTATATACCTAGTGGTGCTGAACTCATATATCATGTGAAGCGATAGCTTATTCACTTCTTAAATTTAGATGTCCGGGAAGTTGCTATGTGAAGGTGGGTGGTTTTATAAACATTTTAGAGTTTGGTCCCACTGTATCTACTCATTAATTCGTAGGTATATTTCACTAAATTTAATAATAAATAAAAAATACTTGTTTTTAATAATATTTGGTAATTTAAACTTTACCCGACGATAGGTTTTTGGAATTTGAGTTTATTTGCGTAATCATCTAAAATATGTCTAGTTGATAATTGTGGTCGGAGCATGTATTTAAGAATCTGACCTATCCACCAGACAATAGGATCTCCATGCAAGACAGTCAATCGAGGAGCCAAGTCATCGGGTATCATTTGTGGCAGGAAATAAGGTCTTGGGAAAACTGAGTCAATTGGAGGTAAATAAATTATTTGTGAGTTTTGATCCCCTGTATAATTATAATGCACATATTAATAAGTATAAAATAAAATTTAAAATAAAATTTTACATAAATAGGAAATTACTTATTGAAGAAATAATTTATGTTACCTGGCCACTTAACAACTGATATATTTTTTAATAAAGTAGACGTGTCGCCTAATGGAAGGAAAACATCTGACCATACATCACCATATGTCCAATCTTTATAGTCCAGAACTAACATTCTTTGAGTACTGTACGCGACGATAAAACAATAAACAATGTGGTGTATCTGACAACCGAACCCACAGAACTGTAAAATATTTATAATATTGGTAAGTACGACGTTATTACTGTTATTACTGAAAACTGTAAAAATCTATTATTTCTAAAAATTCTATATAGTTGCATAGTTTAGATATGAGATTCACTAGGTACAACATCCCAATATTTTTAAAATGCCGTTTTTGAAATAGGTAATAAAAATATCCAAATACAGCAGGTAACCATTTAATTATTTGATTTTAAATATTTATTATTATTTATAGATTTGTTATTATGACAAAATACTGAATATAACAATTGTTTTAAGCATTAAATGGTACAGATTAAAAAAACAACTTTCTCGTAACGTTTCTTGGTACAGGCACTATATGCAATTAAAAAAAAAAATATTTATTGATCTTTATTTTTTTTTTCATTTTATGCCAGACTAAACAATATATTTTTAAATTGTATTTAGTACATTTTTTTTTCATTCTGTAAGTATTTTCAATAATAAATCCTAACCATCGCTTGGTTTGTTAGTTGTTACCTATTGATATCCCTTAAAATTGATGAGAAATACATATTAAATTAATTATTTTCTGGAATTATATGGAGTAATAACATATACAACTATGAACAATATTAAAACGAAATATTGGGTCGTAAAATGGATTTTGTATTCAATTTATTCTGCAGAGTATATAGTATTATGCCTAGTTTATATGTAGACATTGATTGTTTTAGCGGCTTTTGTTTCAAATATGTATTTAATTGTTTTGACGAGACTGAATAATATGGTCAGTACAAACCTTATCAAATTTACACACTAGCTGTCTTGCTGTGAACCAATTTGGTGGGTTTTGCAATTCTTCTAATCTGCTTTGAACTAAAATACTTAAGCTTTCGGATTCCTGTTGTCTCCATGTCGAATAGTTGTCGACTTCAGCCAAACCAGAAACGTCTTTTAATAAAGATCTATAGTGTTCACCGACTATATTTTTTATTTTATGAATGCGTCCTACGCTTATCATTGAATTATTTATTGATTCTAATCCAGAATTGACGTAGTAAAAAAATTCTTTAGTGTTTGAATATATACGACGTCGTAGAACTTCGTATTCTTCAGATGGAGCAATTGGTTCAATGTCCCTCAATTCCTAAAGGTTTATAGGATCATTTAAATACGATGCCATTTACGTCATTCGTTATTTTAAAATAATGTATAATTTTATTTAAAAAATGATTTCGTTTTAAATATCTACTTTTGGCATGCACATATTTTATTTTTTTTTTCTGGAAATAAAGTTAATCATCCATTAAATGAAAACTTATCATTTTCTGATATAATAGGTCAGTGTAAATGTGTTACTAGATAGATTTACGTATGATTCTTAAAAAAATAACGGTACCATAGGTGGAAATCAATTAAAATGTCAGGTGAAGCTAAAATTATTAACATCCATGTAAGCAGGGCTTAAACAACAAAAAAATTATCTATTTAAAATTTTGTTTTGAAGAGGGAGTAATAGATTATCTAGGGGCCTTAGTTTCCCTGATTTTCGTTTACCTACAGCATAGTGCAGAAGAAACTGTGGCTTACATGTAATGTCATAAGTATTAAACAAGTAAATAGTTAGTTAGCTTAGCTATTTATTCAATACTACAGTGAAAAAAATATACTATATTTAAAACGAACGGATTATCGACATTTAAAAAAAGTAGGTAATGCAAGTTGATTTACATAATAGGTACAGCATTATATTATATTACGAGTATTTCAAGACAACAAATATTTATTTTTGTTCAAAAATCACTCTATTTATTTATTGTAAGTACCTTTATACTCTGTTGGATTCTTATTCTAAAACATAAAACAAATAATTATTATTAAATTCCTTATCATACCTAATACGTTGAATACGCAGAGTTTTGAAGAAGTTGTTTTGTTATTACTTATTAATTATGTTTGTTTAAACATTTTGTTTAGTTTCTAAATTTTGAAAATGTTCATATCTTTTGAAATATGTTAAGCATCATCAACTACATTATTATATAGGGCTACAAAGTTGATATGCCATATTTTTCCAAATTATTATAATAGTAATATAATAATATGTAACCTGCAATGTCAACTATTTAGATAAACAAAAAAAAAACATTATATTTTTTAGGAAGTTGAAAAAATAGTCATTTGCGTGAGACCCTATAATATGAGTTGAAAAGCTATACCTAAACACCCTCCAAGTGCCAAGGAATCTATTAATATAACTTTTATCGAAAATGGTCCAGTGGTTTTTGATTTTATTAACTCCGAATAAAGTGTAAACCAATATCCATTCTTAGCTGTTTAAACTGTTGAGTTTTCAAGTGAAAAAATAAAATAAGCACTTCTTTATAATTTTGGAAAATCCTTTTGTACTACACGGCCCATACATGGTGGTACAAACACCAAAGCAACTTGAAAATTTCAAGTCTCAACTCCCTAGGTATCATAGTTTAGGATATACATTGATCAATTAGTCAAAAAGCACCTTCGTTTCTTCCAAAAATTTATAATTATCAGGGCAAATTTTCCGATTTTTCTTTCCATAAAAACCTTGTTTGGACTATTACAAATATATATTTTGAAATACTGATATAACTTTTTTTATTGATAACGGTTCAGTATAGTTGTTGAGTGTTGAGTCTATTGAATTCAGATGAACCTACAGGGGTTAAAAATATAGTTATCAAATATCAAAATTAAAAATTATAAGTTGATATTGTTATAACCGATCAATTATAAAAAAGGGCTTTCAGTATTTCCTAAATTTTTCAATTTTTCGAGCAACTTATCCAATTTTACTTTTGTAAAAATTTGATTCAAAATAGGTATAGGTAAATTTTTTTTTTAAATGGACCAAATCGGTTTATCCGTTCTCGATTTATGTGGTTACCAATAATGAAAACCTATTATATCAATAAAGATTATTTTAAACATTATTATTATTTTCGGCAATCCAATCATTTATATAAGACTTTTTAATGTATTTTAAAATTTAGTGATATATTATAGGTATATCTTGGTTTTGGTGTACCTCAGTTCACGGGAAAAATTGGGTTAGTGTATCTTGCATGCTTTGTGGACTAATTCGATCGATGTGGAAAATTCACCTCCGTGGTGGATTAGATATAGCACTTGGTATAAATTGAACATATTTCAAACTACTCTCTAAACTTTTCTGATATTGGCAAGAACAATTTAAAATGTTCACAAAATCGGTTAAGTACTTTTTGAGTACTTATTAGCTAAAAACATATATTCAACTCTAATATTTGTTTAAGATATCATTTATTTATAAAGATCAATAGTAACATATCACATATAGGCTAAGAGCAAACAAGAATAAATGCCTTTGCAGTTAGAAACTCATGCCCTACGAGCATTAATGAAATAGGTACTGCAATGTACTATAATATCCAAATATAAATATGCATGCACTACTATAGAAAATTCAATATACAAACACTCAAAATTCTCAACAAAATCTTCAAGACTTGCGTATTTAGCATATCATTGTAGTAATAAAAGATAACATGTAACAATACTTTTCATTCAAGTTTTTCAATTCAGCTTTTAATTTGACATTGGCCAACCGCAGGTTTTTTAGGGTCTCTAAGCTTTTGGTTAGTCTTTGGCTGTTAATTTCAATGATGAAGTTATCTTGGTTCCATTTAAATCTCCAAATCATAGACAACACTATCAATAGGAATGCTACAAATATGAAGACTCTCACTAAACACTGCAAATTCATTATTCTTAAGTACACTGCTGTTTCTGTTGAAGTGAAAAAAAAAGCATGAAAAGTACCTTTATTTTTTAAATAAATATATAAGGAAATTTACAACACATAAAACTAAAAAAAATGTTTACCTACATTTTGTGTGGGATTACCATATAAATGTAATGCCGAAATGAGTGGCTCCAGCCGAAATACAGTATAATAATTGATTATGGTTAGCAAACAAGGTAGTCATAGACTCATAAAATATATTTCTGTTTTTATGAGATAAACGAATTAAATATACGCACAACCTGATTCCTACTTGAACACAAAGCTTATGCAAGTAGCCATTTAAATGTATATAGGAAATACGTAGATGAATCTTATCGATTATCAATAAGTTAATTTTTTGAAATATATTCGTGCGTAAATAATACGTGCAACATCGGTAATGACGTTTATGTAATAGTGAAATATTGAAATACCGTATATCCGGACGTATGATATTAGAACTTAACAAAATGCAATACTTACCTATTTAAAAAAATATGAAAATAATACGTGTACAAAGAATAATATGTATATAAATATAAGTATTTAAACTCATAAAAGAAAATATAAAGTATCGTTGAGTAATTGCATTACAACATGTACTCGCCGCATATACATTTTGTGAAAATTACGCTCTATGCAATTATGCAGGAATGTTATTTAAAAAGCCTTTGGATATAATATTAATTTATCACCAATTGGACGAAGGCATACGTGGCTCTGTACGAAATTAACAATACCAGCTTTGGTATTATGTGATTCCATGGTTTATCAGATATATTATCTGCAAACAGTGTTGTAAAATTACCTCCTACACGCGCTTGTTTATAATATGTATAAATTATAAATATTGCCGTGGAACAATGACAGGTCCGTACCATAAAAATTACATTACACGAGTAAACATGATTTTACAAAATTATATTTTATTTAGGAAGGTACCGTGTACATAAAGTAATATATAGTATGTATCACGATGATCCCCACATTCAATTAGTGTAATTTAAAGATATAGATGTCATATCTTCCTGATACAGCTTCTATAATATGTATGTGAATTAAGTAGAGGTACTTAAATACAATGTACACAATTCAATAATTTATATTTAAGATTGCTTACAGTTGGATTTGTTTGTTCCGTTATTGTACCAATATAATATACAATTATAGTGGATATTGTTATAATATGTACCTACTCGTAACTCGTATGGTGTTGTTATACACCAGTAATTAATGCTGCGGTTACTACTAATATACTATAATATACTATTTTCGAATATGTTATAATGTAGAGAATTGAACGAAATACTTGTTCAGTGACCTAAATAATTATGGTGATTGCAGGTGAGACACTTAGATACACACACGCACTATCCTGTGATTTTAGCAACCAACTTTCGATTATATAATAACGAGTATCACATGCAAGCAATCGAAATCGAAAACCCCACCTCCCCAACAAACTATACAATTCCAGCGAACGTAAGAAACGACTGGTTTTAAATTCTAAAATGGAGTAAAAATACGCTTTTATAATATTCTTTGTATAGGATTGTATAATAAACTATAGCCTTAGTTTTTTTATAGTATACACTAAATTGTGACACAATAAATGAACCTAGCTAGTCCAAAATGGGAAATACTCAGTACAGAAGTGAGAATAACGACACTAAGTGAACACAAGCAATTTGATAAAAAATAAAATATTCTATTAAAACTAAAAATAAGGGCTAGTCCCTTACGTCTCTACCTATATTATACAATTATATTATCATTTTTATGAGAATAAACAAAAATGGCTTGTAAAAACAGAGCGATACTAATTGATTTTAAATTAATAAAAATGTAATACAATATTTGGGTATCACTAAGTATTATTCCCAGCTGAGCTGATTGAAAACAAAAAAGTGTAAAACTTAATTTGGTTTCGGTACTAGATTTACTTTTTTATTTATATTAAGAGCATGCAACTAATTAGTTATTATTTTGTCAGTATATTAGAATTATTAAAAGAGGCACGAGTATGTTGAACTGTTAAATTGTTAAATTGTCACATTTATATGGTTTATATATGATTTAATTCTTCGGTAAAGCAGTTGAAAGGAAAACTTGAAAAACATATTATGTTAAATTCATTGAATATAGTATAATATGTATATATTTTACATGTTTGTAGGAATATATATTCTTTGCTGAACCAAATTCGAAAGAAAAAGGAAACACATGTATTTATGGATAATACTCCCATGTGCATTTACGATTAACTTGTATGGGTAAATAAACTTAAAATAACATTTTTTTTTTAAACCATATTATTTTGTTTTTTTAAAAATATTATTTATACAGTCATAACATTTGAGCTTCTTATTAGTTATGTACATCAATTGTAACATTTTACTTTTATTAAATAAAAAAACTACCTAGTCTATTATAGAAAACTATTATCTTATCATAAAGTTTAGGCCACTCACAAAAAAACAAATATTTGGTATAATTTATTTGAAATTTTCAGTATAGAACATCATTCACGACATAAATATGAATATATAATATCGTATATATTAGTTAACGTTTTTTTGAATATTATTGTATTAAGTATTTTATAAAAGTAAAAAAAAAACATTTATAAATATTTGTGCATTCATGTTACATCTGGAAATCCTGTACTATAATATTGAACTACATAACTGATAATATTTAAATATATAGGTATTGCAATTTAAATTAATGAAAACTAAATTGCTTAAAAATTAAAATGATTGTTTAGTTAGTAAAATCGTATTTGTTCATTAATATAAATCATGCGGATTTTGTAAAGCACTATAAATAGTAGAGAAATATTAGAAAAGGCTTATACATCCCTAATTATTTATACAAAAAATGATAAATAATAATTTGTGATAGTTAATATAATTTTATTTTGGAACTTATTTCATTTCAAAATTTCGGTTCGGTTCCGGTACTTTTTTTACTAAATAAAGGTTTCGGTTTCTTTTTTGGCTCTTAATAATTTAAACGTCTCTGTTCCAGAATTGGATATTAATATATACATAATACTATACACATATTACATAATATGCACAAATGTAAGAAAAATAGAAGTAAACATTTTTTTTTAAATATTAAACAATGCAGACGTCTTTGGATATATAATATTGGACGATTAAAAGATAAGATAATGAATGTAATATGATAGCTTGTGTACTTTTTTTTGCCGAATCTCAGTCTAAAAACATATAACCTATACGTGCACGGTGCACTATTATTATATAATATTAAACAAAACATTATACTTAATAATTTTTCATAGTAGAATGTTTTATGACACTCGCGAGATGAGAGTGAAAGATATTTTGCGCAGTAGTCGTGTTTTTTTCTTCATAATATATTCCGTTTTATTAAAAACAAAAAAATATATTTTATTCCAAAAAAATATTCCTTGTTCGTACGCCTCCAAAGACGATTGTATGTAATTTATTTTAATTTAATTTTGAAATAGGTACCTTCATATTATTACGATTACGTCATACATTTTGTGTCATAAAGAGAACCATGCAATTTGTGTGTTGCGCGTATCGTACAACCGCGGATTGCATGGCGTATAACATGACGTACCTATGCATGAGATTTCTAAATAAGGTGATCTCGGAATTAAAAAAAAAGAAAAAACTGTTGCAAACGGTCAAAGTGCAGTCAACAATTTCAGGAATATATATTATAGGTACTTAAATACTTCTTCATACTAAACAAATATCTATAATAATATACTGATTACCAACCTGATGGCAAAATAATAATTAAAGACAACTGCAGCAGCAGGACGTACGTTTGACTCGAAAAAAACAAATAATAATTGAAAATTTAATAAACTTATAAATAGTTCAAAACGAATCAAAATATTTTGAAAATTTTATAGTGCATAGAGAACGCGGATATAAACATCTAGTGAAAATGTCATGTTATTACACCTGTTTTTCCTTAATTTTTTGTTTGTTTTTCCTGCTGCTTTTGAAAACTATTGGTAGTTTTTACCCTTTGATCCTCCCTCCAAGCATCAACTACGAGTAGATTAATTTTCCTACCAGGAAAGATACTGTTGAAGAAAATCGAAGCACTTTAACTGGTCCAAAAGGTGGTGACAGACACATAAAAAATAAAAAAATAAAAAAACACACATCACTGTAAAATCAATGCATTCATCGCGCCTCTCAAAATCTAAAAACAATACAAAACAGTATTTAACATAAAAATTACAAATTATAGTGTATATGTGCCAATTGAAGAGAGTTACAGAAAATTAGCATTCTGTGTAGTATGTGGTTGTAGTTCGTACGACAAGAAGGAAAGTAGAACGATGAGTTGTATCTTGTTGCATAGACAAGGACACTATAATAGATAGAAGACAGAATATCGGGTGCATCGGTTGAGTCATTAATAAGTAAAGAGGAGATAAAATTAATGCCTGCATTAAAGAAATAACAATGTGTTGATTATAATAACAATATTACAGCTGGAACACGTTGTCGACTAGACTCACATGCCATTTTAATATTGATTACGATACGCCTTGTTGTGGTGTGAGAATTGGCACAAACAGGATAATAAAAATAAAACACAATATTATTATTGTATAGTTCATTGAAATTTTTTTTTATTTCATTTATGTATATGGATCATAGGTGAATGTGTTTATCGGTAAAGGAGCCGAAACGAAAACTTGAAAAACATATACCAAACGCATTGAATATAGTATAATATTATGTATTATACTTTTAATTTTTTTGTGCGAATAAAATATATTCTTTGCTGAACCAAATTTGAAATTTGAAAAAAAAATCAAACACGTGTATAAAGATATTATAATCACATGTTGCATTTACAATACACTTTATATGGGTAAAGGAATCAACTAAACTACAGTTTTTTTTTTAAACCATATTATTTCGTTTTATTTTAATAATAAGAGTCATACAATTTAAGTAGTTATGTAATAGTACAAATACAGATTTTGTAAATTGTCTTCTTTCTATGTCTCAGTATTTAAAGTGATATTTGGATAACTGGCAAAAGGCAAAACTTCAATTTTTGTGGTTACCTAAAATCAAATATTAATATAATCAAGCATCATTTATCATTAGTTTTGTTATCTTTAAATAACAATTTATTATACATCCACAAAGTTGTCCCAATTTCCACACGGGGCCCACACACTTCAAACTGGTATCAACATTTTTAATGTGGGGGAGGGGCAATTTCAACTACATGTTTATCATTTTTAGGAAAATTAAATAATCTTAATAATACACTGAAATTAAAATTCAAAGACCTTCACTCGGTTTTTCTAACCATCATATCTCTGCTTCTTCTTAAGATGAACTTTTGAAATTTGAATAATGTAATAATCTACTTTTCCGTATAGGTAAAATCGAATGGCACAAAGGTAGATATTATTATAGTGCAAGTAAATAGAGTAATAGATAATTTTGCAGTAAAATGACCCCTTAGTTAAAGATATTAGTATGAATTTAATTTTTTTAACACCTACAAATTAAAACAATTATCTGAGAGCATTGTGGGGTCTCTACAAGGGGTCCCGAAGTTGGACCTGAAGTACAGGGCCTGGCTTTTTTAAAATGTTGATAGGAATACTTATCTTATATTAAATAATATTTGATGATATAACTTATGTATGTTATTGTATTGTAATTATAATTATAATAACTATATTAAGTAATTTTGTCATTTTAAGCTGCGTGTTAAACCTAACTATTGATAACATAGAAATGTTGTATGAACACCCATATCACCTGTAATGGGTTGGACATAATTTAATGGAAGTTTTGTATAGGTCCCGCAAAAATATTTACTACAGGTGTCATTTGATGTGGAGGGACTGGTGCAGGACAGTAGTTGGACACATGCATGTTGGTACAATAAGACCTACTTTATAGAGCAAATGGAAAAATCTAATAATTGCAATTTTCTCAAACTTAATGCCACTTAATTAATTATTTTTTTTTAAATTAAACAGGTACATGACCAATTACATATAATAATGGAGAGTAGTTCTAAATGCTTAAAGTGTCATTAAATTGACGGCCTTGACTTATGGTAAAAACTGGTTTTTGGCTACTGCATATTATCATGATTAAATCCAAGAAGACGAAACCCACTATGCTGAAGCAATGAATGATATCCAACAAAAACCTAACCACGAAAAAAAGGCCAAATCTTAGACCCAAAAAAGTCTGACTATCAAAGTAGATACCATTGTAGCCTAGTTTGATCTTTCTTTAGTTAATATCCTTAATACACAAATACATTCATGTGCAACATTCTCTTTTACCGATTTTCACTTGGCTAGTTTCAAATAAAAATAACCGACAGGTGACTGAAATCTATTTAAATTATTGACAACGCCAAAGAGATAACATTAGAAACTATTCAAGTGAAAGGAAATAAAATAAAAAATACTTGTTGCACATCAACCCATTTGCGTATTAACGCTATAGACTAAAAAATGAGCAGATTTGGCCTCAATTTAAATATCACTATTTTTTGGGTTTGAGAATTTGCCCTTATTTCATTGTTAAGATTTTATTAAATCACACTTTACCTTAAAAGTAGGGTATAGAAGTGTTTGATGTGTTCTCAAATTGATCCCCAGTGAATAACCGTCCCAATGATTTCCAGCTACTTCAATCTCATCACCTACTTCTAGATCCATCTCTTCGGGCCCGTCTGCTTTATGAGATATTAAAGCTACATTCAGTCTGTGATTTTGACCACTAAAATAAAATGTGTCGTCTAAAGAAGTGAACTTAGCTGATGCATCTGGTTGGAGACTGTTCATAATTTCATAAGCTATCCGGCACACCTGAAAAAAACACAATTCATTGAAATTGAATTAACGTGAATAATAAATGTACCTATATAAATAATTTTTTAAATATGATGACGTTATATGTTACAAGTATTTGAGTTAACAAACTAGAAATTAATGAGTATTGTCATTGTTTTGGGTACTTGATACTGATAAATTTGGATGCAAAACCCTGATTAAACTTTAGTTATTATTTTCTTTTATAATTAATTATTAGTGATAAATGATAATGAATAATAATAACGAGGAAATCAAATTTGACATACATTTGATGAAAAAGTACAAACTAAGTGGTCACAGTGATAAGCTAGAAAATATAGGTCGATGTTGATATTCATAATTGAATTGTCTAACTCGCGGTAAAGAACGGAGCCACTTTTGGATAAATCTGGATCGCCGATAACATCGTACTCAGGATATCTAATAAAACACGATTTATTATTTACACTGTCTGCAAGTAAATGTAAGTATTATAATAAACTAGTTTAAACTAGACAATTTGAAACACACTTGAGTCTAGCTTCATCAAACAATGTTGGATCGTCCGTGGCCAAATAAATGCGTTTCTTGTCGTATCCACCGTTTAATTCTTTGAGCTTGTAATATTCTTCCACATGGTACATATACTCTTCGAGTTCGTGTAATGAAGCTTCTCTGATGATTTTGTCCGTTCGTCTGATATGCAATCTGAACAGCAACACTTAATTTTTTACATGCTGTATGGCGTATAACACGTTGAAGCGTATCCAGAATTTAATTGCATATATTAATGTTCAAGTCCAAGAAATGGAGACTATATTAGCTGTATTATATTTAATTTCTTAAAAGATACATAATATAATACATCTATTTCTACCCACCCCATTAGTAATTTATTTTAGTTAGTGTTACAAAAACGACTGTTCACTGAATGAATTTAAACTACGATTAACATGTATGAGTTATTACGTCTTCATTGGACATTTTAAATTTTAATGGTACCTATTATACGAGCATATGAGTGATGTACTTCATAAACAGCTGTAAACTCATACCACCCGTGGGCTTTGGTATAACTACGTTCTAATTTATTTATAATATGTAGAGGTAGACTTTAATTAATCTTAACCGGTCTTATCCAAACTAAAAATCGATGTAAATACGGGAAATATTGGTTTTATTTAATATTTCTATACGTAGTGTGCGATTTGTCAATGCAACGATACGACGTAATACAAAAATTTTTACCCAACAATTGGCTTTTGAAAATTCACTCGCTTGGCAAACTCGTTAAACACAATGGTAGTGGATGGTTGCGGCCGGAAGATGTATTTGAGGAACTGACCTATCCACCATACAGCGGGATCACCGTGCAAGACATTTATTCGTCCAGCTAAGTCCTCAGGCAACACGTTCGGAATGTAAGGTGGACGGGGATGTTTGGCAGGGTTTTCAGGCACAATAAAATTTACCACTTGAGTGGTTTCGTTGCCTATAATATTAATCAGGTAATCAATAAATCCAACAAAACAGCACATTACATACTTCACAATTTTTGTGAGGAATTTGTATTAATTAAATCTTGCATAGTTGTACGAGTCAGTGGTCTCCTAGTAAAATTTTTGTGAGATGGCGGTTCAATCAAAAAATGTATTATCATATTTACTAGCCATTACTCATTATTAACCACTTAGGTTGGTAATAAAAATAAATTATTTTAATCAAATATTTTTGTTTATCACATAATACTATGTAAGAAGTATTTGGGGTGGCGGGATTAAGATTTCAAATTGTAAATAAACAAATAAATAAAATACATATATAGAAATAATAATTGTGTAATTTATGAGATATTTTTACAATCGATAATGTATGTGGAAAATATTTTTGTGTTTGATTTATCATGATCAACGTTTCACCTACCTGGCCATTTAGAAACGGTTTTGCCGTCAGTAGACGTACACGTGTCGCTAAGCGGTAGAAATATATTAGCAAAACCACTTCTAGTAAACTTCCAAGTTTTAGGATTGTCTATAATCATTGTCCTTTCGGTGGCATAGGCGACAATCAAGCATTTGACCAAATGGTGTATACGACATCCAAATGCACAAGGAAAATTCTGAAATTATACAAAAACCACAAGTAAGTACTATAAAAAATTGTTGATTTGAAACCGTGCTGGACTTTTTTCGATACTTAAAATAATATTAATTACATTTTCAATGATTAAATTGCATGCTAAAAAATCAACCACATCCTCCTCCTTATGATAAAATCATTGGACTGCCATTGATTATAAAATAATATACTTAACAATTAAATACAATAAAATGTGTGTTTTTTTAACTAAAAAAGCGAATATTTAGGTACAATATGTAAAAAATTAAAAACAATGAATAATACGTACAGAAAAAAAGATACACGGAAAGAACAGTTTAAATCAAACTAGTTGTTTGAAAGGTTTTTTTTTAGGATTTATTAGTTGAATTTGACTAGGAAAGTGATGCTGCAGCCTGCAAGGAAGGTTGAATATAATTAGGATAAGTTAGGATGATCATAAAATCAATAAATTATATTGTATTAGTCGTCTAAACTTACATTGATGTGATTGCACAGGAGCTTTTTTGCTTTGGAACAGTCGGGCGGATTTTGCGTATGTTGCAGTCTCTTTTCGACTAGTCTACTCAAAGAGTGAAACTCTTTCCACCGCCACTCTGAATAACCGTCGACATCGGCCAGTTTGGCGATATCTCTCAATAACGATCTATAGTGTTCGTCGATCATTATTTTCATACCAGAAACTTTTGGTTTCAAGTCTTCGATTTCGTTTGCCAACGATTGTAAAGCAGAACTGACGTAATACCAAAATTCTTTTGTGTTTGAATAAATACGGCGACGCAATACTTCGTACCCTTCAGATGGGCCGTTTAATATCTTCTCTTTGTCCATCATCTGTAAGATGAGCGATTAATGTTGAATTACATAATTATTTTATGACTTCCGAATGTTCGATTCTGCTTTATGATGTTTTTTTTTATTACAATTCAAAATTAATTTTCTCAATGTTTATTTTCAATGTGGCGCTATGAACTCTTCAAATAAATGGAGAGGTGTTGCTATTTTATCATGCTTTATTAATTTTAGACAATATTAGCCTCATGTTGGCTCACTCACTTGATCTTAATTTTATTTTGGTACAATATTATCAAAGATAATAAACATTTTGAAAATACAAGGAAAAATAAAATAATATTGTATCCAGAAACCATGTATTGGGTTTAATTTATACAACAAACTAGATACATAATTTACATAAACGTAAAAATCATAAGTAAAAAATTTTTTAAAACATTAAACAATGTGAACATCTGAATAAAATATTATGTGCGTTTGTACGATTAAAAGATAATAAAAATAATAAAGAATACTGCGCAATGTAATAGGATAACTTGTATACTTTTTTTTCGTTGAGCTTCAGTCTAAAAACAGAAAACATAAAAGTAAACTATTATTACTTACTATTATACTATTAAATAAAATATCATACTTAATAATTATTCACATTTTAATATTTTATGACACTCGCGAGATGAAAGTGAAAGATATTTTGCACAGTGGTCCGTTTTTTCTCGTAACTCATTATGGTTTTTCGTATCTCCACAAACGGTTGTATGCTATTTGTTTTAAACAAATATTGAAATAGGTACCTACATATTATTACGATTATGTCGTAGACCTCGAGCCGTAAAGAGAACAATATATCGCATACAAATTTGTGCGCGCATCGTAGATTGCATGGGGTATAACGGCGATTTCTCTTTAAGGTTTTCTGAATTAAAAATCAGAAAAAATCGTTGTAAATGGTCTAAATGCAGTCAACCCTTTCACGAGTATATACTATATTTTAATACTTCTGCACGGGACACAAAAACAAAGCAAATATCTGCCGAACTATACAGTCGTAGTACTATATGTACTGATGACTAGCGCGATGTCGAAAATATTAATTAAAGACAACTGCAGCGTGACCTACCTTTGAATCAGGTCTTTCTTCATTTCCATCATGTTGACGTTGTCTATGTGTACATCGTCGAGATGTTGAATTGCTATCGCAAGCGTTTTTTCTAGTTCATCGTCGACGTAATTTTCGGGCGCCGCGAAGTAAAAAGTCGCAAAAAGGAAAGCGACCCATACGAGCGAAGCGTACAAAAATATTTGCTTCCAGAATAGATGGTAACATTGAATCACCTTCATAATATTCATGGTTGTTTTACAGCCGTGCCTAAATTGAGTCAATGTAAGACGTAGAAATTTAAAGCATTTAATTATTTAATCATATAGTTACAGTCGTTACTGAACTTGTACAGCTGTATAATATATCATATATTATAGCAGATACGGACACAAAATAATTTTTTAGATTGTGAGCGGAGCGATGAATGCTTTGATTTTACAATGATGTGCGTGCGTTTTTTTTTGTCATCACATTTTGGGGTACCTACTAAAATGCTTAGATTTTCTACTTCATTATCTTTTTTGGTAAAAAATTAAATTTAGTTAAAACTAGGGTTGAGGGGAGGGGGCAAAAGTATTATTCCCAGTATTTATAACAGGATAAAAAGTGAATTATTATCTTCATTTTATACCGAAATGAGAAATAACTAAACGTTGATAATCGTTGAAATTTGTTAAAAAAAATCGTGAAATTACTTACAACACGACATAATATTTAAAAAAAAAAGCTTAAATTATTGAGTACTTAATTATTTTAGAGAATTGTAACCACATCCCCATTTTGTGATGTGTTGATATAACTCGAATTTCGAAACTTGAAGAATTTTAAAGGTAGAAAAAGTTCATTTATATCTTAATTTAATAATTTAAATTCGAAATATGAAGATTCGCAAAGGGTCGCTACATGACTATTCAAACTATGCAAAAAAATACAGAGAGAGAAATAACCCAATATCGAACCACTTACCAAAAGATTTATTTAAATTAAAACTGTATTGGTACGATGTCTGATTTCACGCTGAATTTAAATCAGTGTACTTTTACAACTAATGTATTATCACTTGAAACGCCTTATAACACGTGTACAACTACACTTTTTATCCAGTAAAAACGTCGTCCTGATGATCACAATCGGTGTTTGGGAATATATATTATATGATATCGTAACATTATTATTTATAGCTATGAATTATCAGTTATTACACATATTTTATTCGTTTAATGTTTTCAGTGTAAAATAAGATCACGAGTTCACAACCACATATTATTAAATAGGTGACTTCGAGTGGTGTGAAATAAGTAAACATTATACTGCACGACAATATATCTGTACTCTGTAGGTACATATTATGTTTTAGTATTTGCTTAACATTATAATTTATAATCATGATTATAATTATAATAAATTATGTTTGAGTAGAATATTGTTTTGCTAGTGTGTTCAACGTGTTTACTTATTCACCATCACACGTCTAGGGGTTAACTACATACGAATTAAGGATAGGTAATTAATCAATAAAACATAAACTGTTTTTATATTTGAAAACCATTCGACACCGTTATTTGTTGTAGATACTAGGTACCCACTACCACTTGGTACTAATGAACGGTAACATTTTATTTTGTATTATTTTACATAATTTATTACACTGTACTATGTAACGTTACAAAATGCATAATAATCTGATGGATGGTCGGGTATAGGAAATACGCAGCTTGTACAATGTGCCAAAGTTCCACCGACCACCATACCCCCTCTGTTTGCAATTACACATAGCATGTTATTAATTTATTATCATTATTATTATGATTTCACTTGTCTCCCACCGACCGTCTCGACGACGACTACCGGCTCATAAGCAGTGGCGCAACTAGACCTCTAAAACGTAGGGTGCTAAATTTGTGAATGCATCGCAGAGTTGTGGGGCGCAGAGCCACCCACACCTCTGTACCTAAACCTACAATACTCGATAAATCAAAATTTTAAAATACATATTAACACACTTTACATAAAAAAAAGAAATTAAATTAATAATACTCTTTTTTTTCTACAATATCAATAACATATAGGTACATTTTAATTTCATAATCTTGTGAATAAATAAAGAAAATAGAGATATCATACATTTTAAATCAGCAAAATTTTTCTGGGTTTCATGCAGTATAAATAATTCTAATAATTTATTAAATAGATCAAACAAATGTCAATGATGTACACTGCTATTTGTTGTCACATAAACGGTCCATTATAATATACACAGAACAAGTTAAACACAAATCTGCGGTAAAATTTAAATACGTTTACTCAAAAATACATAATAATAAATAAAAGACAATATTTCAACCTGACCAGTAATGCTCAATGTTATGATGTAATATTGTATTTCATAATTCATACACTCTAAATTTAATGAGTAACGTTAAATAATTGTACATTGCTAATATATTCAAGTACCTATATCTTAATTGTATGGTTACATATAAATATATGATAAATAAATGAACTATTTATTTGATGTAGAACCTTAAATATTATTATGCATAATCCATTGTGTACCTATGCAATACAAATATTTTAGTTTTTTACAACAACAGATATTGCTATGTATTTGCATTCAATAGCGTGATATTTACATCTATTTTGTTAACTATATGCAATAATAATAATGGCCAGATCCTATGGATTTCATCGGTTAAACAATGTTTAATGCAATATTCACTGCTGAATACAAATGGCTTAAATGCTCAAATTGATGCACATGGAATCTTCTTTAGGCGTTTGACAAATAACGTAGGGTAGGTAAGAACAAATCCGGGTGGTGGATTATTGTTGTCGTCTCAAAAACGGAAGACCTATGCTGTAGTATGGCCTCCCATGTGGGACAAAAAAGTACATTTCCTGCACTTTCTATAGGAACTGTAAAGAACTAACAAAATAACAGCGTAAAAACAAAAATGTTTCTGGAACGAGATTTCAACGAAATTTATTTGTTTCATTTTTTTAAATTTAGAAATTAATAAACTCCGTAGAGACTTTTACATTTTATATATGTATAGTAAGATGTTGTTTACTTTAGGAAACTCAGGTTATCAAAAATAACGAGTGTGTTTCTGTAATTTGAGTTTCATAAGTTATTAATTATACCATGTTATTATTTTATTTTATTTACATTTGAATATTACCTGTAATTAAAGAAACAACATTTAACTTTATTAATGCCTTTCTTACAACTTACTATACAAAATTACAATTAATATTTCAGTAATTAATTACAATGCACTTTTAAAGTGTTTAAGTAGACAGTTCTAACATAATATAACCTCTCTTTTGTTATCATGTAGACATATTCGATGTGATAAGAAAAGAGCCTATCAAACACTAATAACCAAGGAGACAAGAATTTTATATACATTTATATATATAAAATATAATTTATTATTTTTGGCGTGATCTAATTTTCAATATACGTGTACTCTTCTTCTGCAATTTAAAGACAATTTAAACTATTGATTCACTTGATTTTATTTATGTACTCATATAATGATCACAAATTTTGTTTCTTGGTAAAAAATATGAAAATTCATTACAAGGTCACTCGTATAATGTCGCCTAAGAACCATGATGGTCAATCTCAAAAAATTCAAATTTGCGTTTTATTTATTTATGGATTTGTATTTTAAAGACGAGTGAGACAGTGTGTAATCGACGTTGAATATACATAAAATGATAATAATATAATATATTATACGTAAATAAAAAACAATGATGTTTATGAGCAGTGGCGCAACTAGGTAAAAAAGGTTTTAAGCACCCCCAAGTTAAAATTGAGCACCCCTTGCTACTTAACTATTATTATTTTATTGAAATATCATGAATCGCATGTTTTTAAATTATCGAACATTTCCTGAAAAAATGTATAGTTATTTGGTCTAACGCTTTATTCTATGTATAATCATTGGAACTTGGAAAAAATGTGTAAAAAAAAAACCGGACAAAAGGTAAAAAAATCTGGGACATCAATGTGCGTGAAGTTGGCCCTAACACCATAACCGACTTTTTTGAAAGTTATATTATCATTTTGCAAATTGGTTTTCAGAATTTGTAAATAAATTCCCTGCCAGGAATAAAAAAAATAAGACAGGGGGGGGGGCAACTTCACGCAGCGATATCTTATGCATTTGCTCTCAGAAATAAAATATGTGTGTACGTAGGGGTAGCATATTTAACAAGAAATTAAATTTTTATTTAAAAAATAAATTTAAGCACCAAAAAAATATGAAACCAAAATTAATTAATTTAAACATCAACGCTTTCGGGTTTCGGCGGTATTCCTGATATTGTGTGTGCACTGCGGAATAAATCAGATATACGATTGAACTTAAGTCTGAAAATATTGAGATTTATTGTGAAAAAAAAACCGTACGGATCGCTTCATGTTTCGTAAAAATTCCAACGTAGAATCATTCTGATTGACCATTATAAGGGTTTGGCATGTTGACTACTGCGCCAACATAATCACCTTACGATTAAGGTATATTTTTACTTTTCACGGAGTATTTGTGAAGGTTTCCGAATTAATAACACTTAATACTATAGCCACAGCTCATCGCTTAGTGTATAAACCAATGGATAATGACCTACGACTGTATATATTTTACATATTTAGGATAACGTTTCACTATACATTACCTTGTTCAATGAACAATGTTCATATGAATAAGGTTTACATTTTCCAGGTCAAATGTAGCTTTCTCATGTTTGGATCATACCTGTAAACATAATATCTATAATATATTCGGATAATTTTAGTACCAATATTTTTTTTTATTTCCTCAATCGTCATTACAATATTCCTAATTTATAACAATATTATTTAATATGTATTAGTAATGTACAGCTAAGTATGAAGCAAATAATACTAATAATTAATTTTCCAACTCTTCAGAATTTATTTTGACATCAGGATAACTGGTGAAATACATGGCTTCGATTTTTTTGATTACCTAGAACAATTAATATTAATATGTAAAATAATATTAAATACATCATCGTAAAATATCATATAAAGTATTTTATAATAATGTGATGCAATCAGCTATTATTAATAGCTACCTTAAAAGTAGGATACAGAAGAGTTTTGTTTGTTTTCAAATGTGTTCCCTTCGAATATCCATTCCATTCATTTCCAACGACTTCGATCTCGTCACCCACTTGTAGATCCATCTCTTGCGGTCTGTTTGATTTATGAGGCAATATTGCAACATGTAATCTACGAATTCGGTCACTAAAATAATATACGTCATCTAGTGAAGCAAACCAAGTTGATGCATCTATTGGTTTGATACCATTAATTATTTCATAAGCCAATCGGCATACCTGTGAGGAAAAATTATGTACTTAAAAGGCAAAGTTTTCTTTCATTATAAAACTAAATTTAACTTACCTAATTAGGTTTATTTTATTTTATTTTAAGCTACGAGTTATATTTTATTAAGAATAATATGAAGTTATAATAATTGTTTTAGGTTTCTAAACAAGAATGTAGACACACTACATTATTACACCCACGTTTTGTCCGTTATCTATCCGCTTGTTCAATCGATACGTTACCGGTTATTATCAGTATCAATATTTATTTTACAATTTATGTATTGTTAAAACTGCTTACTCATAAAACAGAAAAATTATTCAAGAAGAAAACCATATCAATTTAATAAAAATTCAAAAGGACCAGTAGTAGAAAAATACCAGTATATAAGTACCTGTTTATTCTTTAATATAAACTTATAATAGCCCAAAATTAAGATATCTTGATGTACGGAATTATGACTATATAAATCACAGATACCACAAAAAACTTAAATATGTTCCATCAATTGTAAACCAATAAAGAAATGTTATTGATTTATGTTTCTTACACATATATAGTTAAGCAAATTGTTTATAATTTTTATGTATTATTATAGTTATTATTGGTTTGAATACGGTCAAAAACTATAATCTTATGAATTTAATAATTATTAATTACGTCCTAGCAGAAAAGAATTTCTTAACTTGTTAGAATTTTTGTAAAATAATGAATTTCACATACATGTGACGAGAAAGTGCAAACCAAATAGTCACACTGAGATAAAAAATATAAGTCGATGTTGATATTTAAAATGGACTTGTCCAACTCATTGGTTGTGACGGACCCGGTTTTCGATAGTTCTGGGTTACCAAATATATAGTAATCAGGATACCTAAAACACACTACTATTAAAATAATTACATAATAAAAACAAACAAATTTAACTCGCTTCTTATAAGCTTCCTCGAACAACGCTGGGTCGTCTGAAGCTAAATATATTGCCTTATACAAATTTTTTCCGTTCATTTTTTGTAATTTGTAATACTGATCGACTTTGATCATGTATTCATTGAGTTTGTGAAACGAACCAATTTTGTCTGTTCGTCTGATGTCCACTCTAAAATATGTACAATAGCAATATATTATTATAGTTTTCTTGTAATTTTGTTATAAACCTAATCTCTATACACTTTGTTGTAACCACGACAAGTCTTTGCTATCATATTTTAGTTGATGTTTATCAAATTGTTCAATCATCATATAATTGTATCAAAATGTTTATCGAGTTTTTGGTTATTGTCTTATTGCGTATTATTCATTATTTCATTAACACGGCGTATTGTGTATGCAATTTTAATACTCTCTATCTAACTCAATATCATTATTTATTACATTTTAAATAATTCTATATTATTTGATTATTTTTTTATCGCTTATAAGTTGAAACTAATGTGATAAATTAAAAAATAATAAATATAATTTATATAACGTTTAAAATAATATTGTTATCTGTTACTGTTTGAAAACAAAATAGATCACAATGTTTGATCGAAAACTATAAATATTCACACATCAGTAAGATAACTTAGTTTTATATTATATTGTTACATAATATACAATAGTATATAGTAGGGTGCTCTTTTTTTCTAATAACTCCCATCAAAAAAGTTTTGTTACTAAACAAAAATCATATGTAATTAATTCTGATAAATTTATTCAATTTTTAGTTGTAATAAATCTTTCGAAAAAGATAGTTTTCAATCATAAGTCATAACCATGGGGAAAACAATTCTACAACTAATCTGTAACGACATATTATATGGTTATTGTATTAATATAAAAGTATTTATCTCGTGATATCTATCTCAAAGTTATTTTCTGAATATTGTCATTTTTCTGGCTACTATAGGAGCCCTTCAGTCATAGAAAATTCAATTTACAACGATTCCGTTACCTACATACATTTTTTTTGCCACAATTAAAATATTTTAAATATTTAAATTTATTTGATATGGATAATAATATGATATTTGAATGGGTAATGACAGTGTAGGCATTGAAGTCTGGTGGTATAGAAACATAATATAGAGTCAATATAGTTATGTTCGACACTTATGACGTTTTTAACAGATCTTGAAAAAAAAACATATTTTAATTTGTTGGATAATACATATTGAATACGCCTTGATGAATTATTATTATGACATTCAAAATGTGTACTACTCAATCGAAATATGACGTCTACAAAGTGTCGAAGCATATAATTTTATTGTGGACACGTTTGTTGTACCCGACGATTGGCAATCCGAATTCTATGATTTCTTCGTATTCTTCAAATTTGCCAATAGTTGATAGTTGTAGCCGAATTATATAATTGACAAATTGGCCTATCCACCAGACGGCAGGGTCGCCATGCAAGACGCTTATCCTACGGCTCAAGTCTTCGGGCAATACGAGCGGATCGAACGGCGGTGGCAGTGGCCTTGCCATGCGCTTCGGACCATCGGGCACTGCGATGGGAAGACTGAGATTCACCACTTGGACACTTTCGTTGCCTATAAAGTAAGTGCAGAAACATTATTTTATAATATCGCGTGTCGTGTACTGTCTACTAATAGTTTTCTGGCGTTTTAAATACGGCAGGTCCTCGTTTAACGCATTGCCTCACATTTCACGTGGTTTCGTTATTACATCGTTGGATTTTAAATCTTTGTTCCGTTAAATGATTCTACAGTTTCAGTTTAACGTAGTTTTCAATACCGGATTGTATGAAATTTAATTTTATTCAACCTTGCGTTTCGAATCCAAAGATTTTTCAGATAATATTGTTATCGATTTTATTTGCGCGGCTTACTGGATGGACGGTCATCGTCATCCGGACGAAAAATATATTTCTAAGGGTCGAAAAAGAAGATAAATATTTACGAGACCTGAGTTTTGGAGTGGTTTTGTTATTTTATATTGTCATTTTACCACGCCGTGCCTATCTTTAATAAATAGATTTGTGCAGTACCTCCAATCACCACCTATTCGTTTTTAATACTCGAAACCGTCACCAGGACAGGCATTGTGTTTATGAGGGGAGAGGTCTTGACCATATGACATGTACGTGATATTTTATAATAGGTAGGTAGTTCTTTGTTTGATTGATATTAATTGTTTAACAAAACTTTTCTTGTCCTGCATTATAGAGTTGTCATGTTATATTACATATACTTATTGTTATTACGTATATATTTACCTAAGTTATATTTATTTGCAAGAACATATTCTAGTTAAGTGAGGTTTAAGTAGTGTCTCACTTAACGCTTTTTTGATTAACGCGTATTATAGGTATTTAACCTCGATGTTAAACGAGGACCTAATGTATTTTTTTAAGTATTTGTTTATTTTGTTCTTAAGCTGCTTTTTTGGGAGATTTCTGAGTGCTTCTCGAAGTAACCTTTATTTACCAAGAGTACGCTCCTAAAAACGTATCGTTTATAGCATTAATTAGTTTACTACTCACACTTATATTCACTGTAAATTAGTCGTAGCCGTGCTCAGTTATTATCAAAATTAAAATTAAATGTCTTTGTTAAATTAACAAAGACGTCGTTGTAAAAATTACATTAACAATCATACATGTTTTTTACTATAACAGTTGATTTTCGATTTTTTGTCTTAAAAATTTTGGGTACGTGCGAGAACGCACTTAGGCTATGAAAAAGGAAAAAAATTAAAAACGAGGGCACTCTCGGGACATTCAAAAATTTCTGTCACCATTGTCTGTATATATATTTTAAATAGATCTCTATGACAGATACGATTGTTTAAATAGATAAGCGCTATTGTATTTGAAAATAAAAATGTCTCGAAAGAAGGGATATGTCCCGAATGCTGGTTGTTTTTAGTTTTTTGAATTTTCACCTAACTATTTAAACAACCGCCACTATAATAGAGATAGATTTAAATATAAAGACTCTAATGATAGAAATTCCACACTTGAATATGTAATTCCTATACAAATTAAATTTTGTACTCAAATAGTATCTTTTTACCATTATAATAATGACATCAGTAAACGTCATCACTCATCGTTGGCAATACTTAGGTAATATTACCTGGCCAAGGCAGAACCGTTTCATTGTTGTACAAAAATGACGTGCATGTACTTAGTGGAAAAAACAGTGATGGTAATCCACCGCTTGTGAACTCCCAATTTTGGGGATTGTCTAGGACCAATGTTCTCTTGGTAGCATAAGCGACGACCAAGCAATTGACGAGATGGTGAAGACGACAGCCATATCCACACGACGGTCGGTCCTAAGAGCAAACACTCGAACAGTGACCGATTTAAGGGGGGCCGAGCTCCTGCCCCCCACATGGCCCAATAGCTGAAATATAAACAGTGCAATACATGCTAAACATAGCATTTGTGTTCCCCAATCAAAAAAAAATCATCCTAGATCTGCAACTGCACTAGAATATATACAACACTGCACGCTTTCGCATACAATACTACTGGGGAAATCATACACGGTTTTGTGGTAAGTATAATATTTCATATTTGTATGCATTTATATTTACCGGGATTAAGTTGCAAATAAGTTTTTTTGCTTTGGAACAGTCTTCTGGATTTTGCAAGAATCTCAGTCTCTTTTGGACTAGAGTCTTCAAATAGATGTATTCTTTCCGTCTCCACCGTGTATAGTCATCAACAGTTGCCAATTTGGCGATGTCGTTCAATAGTGAAAAATATTGTTCTATGACATTTTTTTTCATTCGATTTGTGAACGGTTGTACGCCTTTGTCAGTATTAGCCAACAACCGTAGTTCAGAACTGACATAGTACCAAAATTCTTTCATGTTGTCATAAATACGGCGACGCAGTAGTTCATACTCTTTGGGCGGGCTTTGTAATTTTTTTCGGTTTAAGTACTGTAAGTCATGTGCATTCAATATATTATTTAATCTATTATGGCTACTTATGTATTTGTATAAGCTTTATTTAGAATATTTTAATCTTAGTGGAGCGTTGAATATATTGGTTTTACCCAAAAATATGTTTTTTTGTGTAAAATGTCTGACATATAATATGTCACATTTAGGAGCTATATTATAAACCTTTAATCATCAACCCTGAAGGCTGATAGTATCTTGTGAAAATTGCTAGTTTGTACTTTGAGGGCTCAAGAATGAAAAAATTCTCACTAACTACCACATAAAAAAACAATGGAAAAATACAATAAAATATTATGGTAAAACGAGAGTATGTAGAGGGAATCCTTTTCAGGCAAAATTGACTTTCTTTTCTTTTTGTAACTAACAAGAACTTATTAAATCTGTTAAGACTTGGTATTTCCACAAAATATTTTAATACATAATAATAATGTTTTTAATGAATGTGGTTCATGTTAGTAATAAAATAACTTAACGTGACAATAAAATTAATTTAATGATAACCCGATATTATAAATGTGTACTTACACTATTTTTTCCGATTCTCAGTCTGAAAATATAAAATGTTTATGGACAAATAATAAACGTTATATTATTTGATATACATGCATGAAAGAAATTGAGGAAGTATGATGCGTATGATGTACCTTTGAGTTAAGACGAGAACTTGATGTTCTAGTTGAGCATTAGTCTTATGCAGCAAATTTAGCTCTAATAAAACATTGACCAGCTTCTCATTTACATTTTTCTCGAACATATCTACTTGTTGTTGTTTTGGATTATTAGTCACCAACAGAATAAAAATACATATAAGTACAAAAAGAATACAAATTTTCAGCCAGATCTGACAAGTCTTCATTTTCTTTCTGTAATTAAATCAGTGTCTGCTAAAAATGTTAAGATGTTTAAAATATAATATAAAAATTTATTATGAATATGAAATAAGGGTCCATAAATATGAGGAATTACCTATTATAGGTAAGGATTACGGAGTGATTTTTTTTTTTGTTATAAATAAATATGTTGACAGTTTTTTAACATTTTGAAATAAATAAATAAAAAAAACGTTTGTGTATGAATCTACGGCTATTATTGTAATTGTTTTAAATTATAATTACTTTGTTTTGTAAAATTATAACAGCGTCTTCAAACATAAAAAAATTTTTTTTGAGTGGCTTATAAATATGTTTATAATGATAATTAGTAGGCACTAGCAGATTATGTCAATTTATTATTGTATATTACTAATAATGGCAATATCAATATTAATAATTGTTATCATGATTTATATATTCATTGTTAATATGAAACTCAACGAATTATTAAAAAAATAATATTAAAATAATAATTACCCGATTTAAATTCTTATTATATGTACAACAATGGAAGTCATACACTATGCGATACATTAAAAGCAAACAATGATGGTTTCGCGTAAAAAAACTTTAAAATTATTTTTGTTCGCAATAATTTTTTACTGTTTAAATGTCGAGTTTTTCTTGTTCCATGTAACTGGTAATTTTCAGTTTTCGAATGAATTCTGTAATTACTCAAATCAAATGTTTAAATAATTATTAATTATACTATGTATTTTGTTATAAATACCTACTAATATTTTACGCGTGTGTCGTATCCCAGGTGTATCGCCACGTGTGTCAACATACCGCCACTTCAAACCATCGGAGGCACATAAAACATGTATATAAAACAATCAAATTTATGATTTTTAGTGATATTTTTTTTATTGGGTATTTACAATTCATTTTTTTATACATAATACTATAATAATAATATTATACTCGTGGGTGGAAGTCTACATTCTAATGCTTTCCATGTTGTTCAAATATTTTTCTGACTCTATGTCGGAAGTCGGTTGGTTGGTGGTGATTTCGAAGGACCTTGCGTTTTGCGATCATAGACGACAGTTGTAAAGAGTGACTACTTGTCATACTTAAATGGCAATGTTTGGCCGCATAAGGTAATCTGTATCACAGTCAGTGGTGCAACTAGTTGTTGAGAGTTGGGGGTCGTGAGGTTAGGTTAGGACCCCTCCCCCTCTCCAGAAATTTTCCTGAGATTTTTACGGATTCTACGTGGGAAAAAAATTGTTCATCTTGAATACTTGAAACACCTACCTAATTGATATGAAATATGAATATTATTAGTATCAAGGTTGTAGATATATAATATATAATATATATATTTCATTTCTAATTGAAATATTTTACTCGTAAACCCGATCCCCCTAATCTAACCCCCTTTTCCTCACCAAGCACCTGCCTAAAATGATTTTTTTTTGGAAATTCGCTATATATAGTAGTATAGGTTAGATAAATAAATAAAATTGCAAACAAAAGATGTCTGATAAAGTATAAGAATGTTCCTGTTCAGCACTCAATGTTTCCTGATGCGATGGTCAGTCTGTAGAAAACATTCGTCTTGGTTTAAAAAATTGGAATATTTAAGCAAAATCAGTTTCTGAAAAAATTATATAACCTTCACATATTTACCAAGTATTTATTTTAGTATTTTCTAGATATAACATAGGTAATTAAAAAAAATAATTTGTCTTTTTTTGTGCTATTTATAGACATATGAAACGTTAGACTTTTTTATATTTATGTTAATACAATGTTGGTTTGTAAGTCAAAGAGCTAGAAAGTTAAATCCAAGATTCCTCGTAAGATGTTATTACTGGGATAAAAAAAAGTTATGAGTATAACCATAATATTCATTTTTTATGAACGTTTGAAAGTACAAATTTTGACGAAATTGGATATTTAAACGTGAAATAACAATTTCTTCCCAAATAACTATTTGTTTCTTCGTTGTAGTTCAAAATAGTATACATTAATAGTTATATTGATCTACTGTAAGTAAGAATTTACGTATAAGATTTATTTCTATAATATTATTTACATTATTTATAACATATTATACACATTAAATCAATAAAATATGATAATATAATTTAGTAATAATTTATAATTATTGTGTTATATAGGCAGATTAAGATGTCTTTTCAAAAATAAGCTCAATCTACAGAATTACTATTACTGTTAGGAAATTAAATTCATAATTATAGGAATACAACTATGTTTATATATTGTAATCAAATATCCTTAAAAACATAGGCTATTACATACCGTTTTCGATCATAGTGGTTTTTCCTGTACCTACACCGATTAATCATCAGCATCGTATTAAGATTTAACACACCCATTACAGTGACCTACTAAATGTCGTCAATGTCGAGATACACTCGGAAAGCTAAACCTTTTATACAGTAGAGCTACTTTCCCGGGTATTAATTACTTAAATTCGAAAAACTGATAAGCCGATAAAATAGACGACCGTATTTATATTATATCACACACAGACACACATGTAAATATAATGAAACAGTGCACGTCATGGTGACATTAAAAATGGCGTGTTGATAAAAAAAACAGGCAACATAATCATCATCGTATTTATTGTGTCAGGATCTAACTGACATTATATCTATCCGTTTTGATTTCGTATGTCACAAGAACATTTTTTTGTTGTGTTTTTTGTCGTCTGGCAAACGACCGAATATCCAGGCTATTGATTGAGGTCGATTTAAGTAATGTGGATGGTTGTTGGTTGACAACGAGGGTCAGCAGTAAAAAGAACGAACGCTATTAAAGTCTGCCTTATTTATCTGCTTATCAAAGACATCTGTCACACCGCAACATAGGTTGAGTGTCAGCATAATATTCGGTTGAATTTATTTTAACTATTCATTTTGAAAATTAGTACGTATTATGACGGTCTCTTAAAGTTATTCAATTATGCGATTAAGTGATATGCCAAACCTTTTTTTTGTTGAAACACTTGGAATAGTATTTATTTATTTTTCTAATTGAAATATTTTTGGTTACAAATTTCGACTTTTAGCTGTACACAGAAAATGTATTGCTTATAAGTTATGACTTAAAACGGTGGTTACATTCGATTTACTTAATTTATTTTGGCTCCATAAAACTAAAATTGCTTGTTTATTTTTTGAATAGAAAGTCATAAGTACATCATTAATTGTGTGAATTATTATTTTTAGCCAACTACATAATATACATTTTATTCTGTACTAAAGCTGGCGTACAGTTAAAATACTATATAAATGATGTAGATATTATATTATAATTAAATCATAAAATAGTTTAATATAATGATAATGTTATATTGACATATTTTTTAAACTTAAAAAGCTTATATCTATTGAAATAATGACTTTTTATATTAAAATATGTATAATAATATACGTAAGTATATGAAGCTATAGCATAGGTATCTATAATTTACTATGCATAATTTATACTAACCATTTATAATGCATTTACCCGGCAGTTCTATTATTAAAACGGTGATAATATAATATAATATGTTTTATTTCATGCGTATATATATATATATATATATCAATAACTAGGTTAAACGAGTTCAACTCGTCAAAACTTTTGCCGAATCGAAGACAATATAATTATTATTACGAACACTGTTTACTTATAATATATTATAGGACGTGTGTATAAAATATGTATATTATGCTGTTCAGAATATTCAGAATAATGTATAATTTATTCTAATATGATTACCTACAAACAGTTTTGTAGGTACGTAATATCCTACATCATTAATGATTAAGAATAATAACTTGTCTATTTGTACGAAATATATAATTATTATTTTGAATGAAAGTGCGCTGACACGTAGGTGCAGAAACACTAATTTACACTTGTACGACGCCATTTCACCGCCGCCGTACACCTGAGGAGACTTATAACGCGACGGAAATCGCATAACGATATAATATTTATATAAGTACATAACATAGTAATATGTACATACGTTTGATTATAATTCGAGTATTATTATTTAGCAAAATATTGGTTAATAGTGTTTGATACGTGAACTGGTTTGCTTGACAGATTTCAACTGCTCTAGTCAAAGAGCTGTAATAATAATATATAATATATAAGTAATACTTATAATAAATTAAACATATTGCGTTTTTTTTCTTCGTTCTTATATATGCCTTATGCCATACCGCTGTAATATCGAAACTTATAATATAATATTATGATATATAGGTACTAGATTTTTATAATCGTACTGGGATTTAGGGTAAGGTTGACTTATCATGGGGTAATAATACATTAATACACCGATTTCTACAGCAGTAGTCGTTGAGTAACTTGGATAAATGTTATTATTGAAATATACAAACCTACAATCTACATATTATATAAAACTATACTATATATTATTATAATTTATAACTATTATACAGTCGAGTTTTGATAGCTAGAACCTCAAAAACTCGAAAACCCCGGTAACTCGGATTTTGTTCTCGTCCCTTGATGTGTTTTTAAGTTGCATGTGTACAGTTCAATAAATATAAATGAGTCAAATTTATTTTTATTTCCCTTATGTTTTGAGTAATTGGGACTCAACTGTATCAATATGTATTAATTATTCATTTAGTATTATATATTGAGTGAAATCTGATGTGACAATCTCTGGAGTAATATTAATACTTTAATAGTTTATTTATTTTTTAACGAGTATATTAAGTTAGTAAATTATTTTAAAATCGTTAATTGTATAGATTGGTTTATAATTTTTACAATTTATTTTATTTATATTTACTGACTTTAATAAAGAACAAGATTCAAAATGTCTTTTTTCTAAATTATGTTTGTACAAGGAGTGATGGACCATTATAAAGACAAATTTTCAACTTTATTCCCCATGGGAGTTAAAATCAATCAAATTCCCTTGGCTTAAAAATATGGTTTTGTTTAATATTATGGCTTATAATGTTATGAGCTATAATATTATAGTTAATGAAAAAAAACAGGGGTTGTTATAACATTACCTATCTTAAGATCCGTTTGACGCATCTGCAAATAAAATAAAAATAAAATAATTAGTATGTATTGATTTTATACTTAAATATAAATATATTTAATTATATTATTGGCGTGCATGTATACTGTTTCGATGTTTGTTATTTCCAGATAATTTTAGGATGTAGTTAATAATACCAAATATATTATAATAACATCTATTTGATTGTAAAATTAATTAATATAACACATGTAAATTATTGAAAAGATTATCTAAATAATAAATCCGTTATAATTAGAATCTGCGTCATTCCATTTTCGAGTTTTTAACTATTAGGCAATATAAAAGATCGTATTTTTGAACAACTATTGGATCTTATTAGTTCAAAATAGTGTCTATAGTATCTATTGGATTCAGTAAATTGCTCAAAGGTTAAGTCTATTCTTTAGTGTTGTACATAATTTTACATATTTTACGGCGTACTGAATAGGCAATAGAGGTGCATTGCTATGTTCTAATGGATAATAATTATTGTGACGTAAAAAACCTAATTTGTTTAATGAAAGTTAAAGGAATAAAACAAAAATATTTTTAAGAACGGTGAGATATATTAAGACATAATAATGAGTATAAAAAGAAACTAT